ATTATAGATGAGGCATATGAAGAGGAATAGGCAGAGACGATGCTGAAGGAAAAGGAGGAACAGTGGGAGATTGTGCTATCCAGCAAATGTTAAGGCAATGTTAATCATTATAACCGAGGCTAGCATTAATATGAAAACACCTCCTGGTTCAAAATAACTTGTTTTCTGCCTATAAATTCTTACACAGTGTCCTCAAAGAGCTCCTCAGAGGGACGTTTGCTGAAGTCCACCATTGTCTGGAAGACATAGATCTGAGAGAGCAAATTCACAACAATGAGATCTCCTGGCTGGTATCGCTTGTGAAGAAATGGCAGAGGGTCACTGGTGATGCATTTAGCTCCATGAATCCTGCACATCACTGGTAGTAAAGGCAGACTAACCAATACTGCAAACATCACAATGTTCGACAATAGCATTTCTTCTATAAGCCAATTTGACTGTCTCAAAATTCTTTTTCATGAAGTATACTATGTGAGATAATGGCTAAATTATGTCCCAGGAAGTAGAAATGAAGTTGAGATAATTATATAGGGATGGATAATTGCAGTAGAAAAGTCAACAAAGATCTAGGAATGCTTGAACAAGAAAACATGTTTTTGGCATTTTAGTAGACATCACCTTTAGCATTCTGTTAGTGTTGTGTTAACAGAAACAAATGTTTGTGATGATTGAGACCAAGAGATGAATCCAAATTCTAAAGAGAGCTTAATAACCAGTGTTGGGATTCAACCAGTTCGCACCACTTTGGGAGAACCGGTTGTTAACTTTCTGAGCAGTTTGGCGAACTGGTTGTTGGAAGAAATCATTAGGGCAGAGAACCGGTTGTTAAATTATTTGAATCCCACCACTGTTCATAACCTTTCTTCAATTTGTGGAAGGATAAGAAGTATTCATGACTCCCAAATGTTGAAAAAAAATTGTTTAATATTAATTCTCAGAAAAGTCATAACAGGAGCCAAAATGAAGTTAAAGCCATCTTGTATGCCAAAATCCATTTTGGAAGCACTTTGCCCTCTATTGAAAAAGCAACTGTTAGACTAGAATAGAATAGAATAGAATAGAATAGAATAGAATAGAATAGAATAGAATAGAATAGAATAGAATAGAATAGAATAGAATAGAATAGAATTTTTATTGGCCAAGTGTGATTGGACACACAAGGAATTTGTCTTGAATATCTGGAATCATATCGAAAGTATGACATAAAAACTAGAGAATGGTTTAACATTCCTGTCCCCTTAAATAAACTCTGAGGCAAATCTTTGGTTGGGGCAAAACTCCCACCTCTATTTGCATTTTCTCTATTGCAATTTAACAGAATAACAGAGTTGGAAGGGACCTTGGAGGTCTTCTAACCCAATCCCCTATTCAAGCAGGAGACCCTATATCAATGATGGTCAATCTTTTCGGCATTGAGTGGCAAAAAGGGAGTGCGCATGCACGTGTGTGGCACCAAGTGCCGAAAAGGAAGCACTTCACACATCGACCAGGAAGAGGAGCTGTCCAGGGGGCATACGCATGCCAGATAAGGTACTTCCGGTTTCCAGCGTGTGCATGCGCACCGGCCAGCAAGTCTTTCAGTTACTGCCATGCATGCACACGTGCCGATCAACTGGCAGCCCGTATGCTCACACTACACATGCTCACACACATGTGTGTCCAGCCAGATGCTTCCAGCCCCAGAGAAGTAATCTGTAGTTCTGCATTGGGGGAGGAAGTGTTTATCTTGGACTTTTGAGATGGGATGCCAGAGCGAGCGGCAGTACCAATGAGAATTCTCCCTGCTTGAGTGTCATCGGTCTCTGGGCAGAGTCCTTTAGGACTTCACCTGAAGGAGGAGAGAGAGTTCTTTGGAGAGAAAGAGAAGTAGAGAAAGTGGGAGGGGGATCTTGGCCTGAATAACCAACTTGGGCTTCTTCTCTGCACAGAACTCTCTCCTCCAGTGGGTGAAGTCAAGGGAGACTCTACCCAGAAACTAATGATGCTGCAGAAGGGAGAATTCCCATTGGTCCTTTCTGGAAACTCCCAATTCCGAAGTTCGAGGAAGCCCCATTCCCAGCTCACAGACCAGCTCTTCCAGTTTCTGGCACTACTGCATGCACAAAGGCCAGCTCATCATCATGTGTGAATGCGCACCAGAAACCCGGAAGGGAACAGGCAACACATCGTGGCTTCATGTGCCACTTCGGGCACGTGTGCCATAGTTTTGCCATCACAGCCCCATACCATTTCAGACAAATGGTTATCCAATTTCTTCTTTAAAATCTCCAGTGTTGGAGCACCCAGAACTTCTGGACACAAGCCGTTCCACTGATTTATTGTTCTAAGAAAATTTCTCCTCAGTTCTAGGTTGGTTCTTTCTTGAGTATTTTCCATCCATTTCTTCTTCTCCTCCCTTCGGGTGCTTTGAAGAATGGGTTGACCCCCCCCCTCTTCTTAATAACAACCCCTCAAATATTGGAACACTGTTTTCATATCATCCATAGTCCTTCTTTTAACTAAAATACACCTGCTCACTTCCTGCAACCATTCTTTATATGTTTTAGCTTTTCTTCTCCTAATCATCTTTGTTGCTCTTCTCTTTTTCTTGGGGCATTGTTCCCATGCAAATAGGTCTTCTCCCCTTCTTCCTCCTCCTCCTCCTCCTCCTCCTCCTCCTCCTCCTCCTCCTCCTCCTCCTCTTCCTCCTCTTCCTCCTCCTCCTCCTCCTCCTCCTCCTGGTTTTGATTTCTTTTCTATGTCTTAATATCATCTTGAAGCTTGTTTGACTGTCCAACTTTCCTACAGAAAAGAATCAAAGAAAGGGACAACTAAATGACTGAGGTGGAGGGGGGGAAGCTATCCTCAATATTTATCTTTTGAATGATGAAAAAAATACAGTTTGGTTCATGCTCTCAAAAACAAGATGACATAATTCAAGCCAGGTATAAATAGCCATTCTGTAACATCCATTAAAAGAAACACTGCTGAATTCTGGATAAGCTCTAGTTTTTGTGTTGCCTTTAAATACAGCCCTGTATAAATAACATTGCAGGAGCTTTTCTAGGTGATAATGAGGATTTAATTTTAAGTGCCTGTGGTTGGGTACCCTTGCATTAGGAAAAGCTGCAAGATGGTACCCACTGAAGTTGAGCCTTTTTAGTCATGGTTTCTACCTGCTGTTCAGAAGCAGATGCCATGAATTCAGGATATTCCCTAAATTGTCAACTTTCTTTTCACAGGTAGTGCTGTTTTGACCTAGGCTTCCCCAAACCATGAAGCAGACTCCTTGTCCCAACAAAACCCTTTTTTATTAAGTTACTGTGAATTCTCCTCATTCACATCCAGCGAAGTCCCGGCAAACAGTCTTTCCTGGGTGAATTCACAAACACAGACCTTATCTGTCTTGAAGAGCTGCCAGGATGATATCTTCAAAATGCAACGCTGTACAAAAAAGTACTTGGCAAGGAGTCTCTGAGAGTCATGAACCAATTAAGTGAACTAATTGTCTCCTGCAAACTCCCCTCCCCTTTCACTTTTATTTATTCCCTATGGGAGGGGCCATTCACCATCTACCTGTGCCTTTATTCCCGAGTTGGCCCTTGTTCCTTAACTGTTCCCTTCTCCTGGCAGCTCTGCTCATGCGCACATCGGGAACAGGCTCCAACTGTTCTTCTGCCCCACTGATCTCCGACTCCAAAGGCAGCTGATAACTGTTGGGCGGCCCTGGCCCCATCTCTGCCTCTGATGCAGAGCACTCATCAGAGCTTTCCCCAAACTCCAGGACTGGCTCATGTTCCTCCCCAACCTCCTCACTGTCTGAGTCTGCCACCAGCTCCACTGGCCACTGGCAGGCCACAACAAGTTCCTCTACATACAAATACTTCTACAGTATTGATGGCAAATCCCAATAGAGAAATGCAAAACTGTCTTGCTCGGGAAAACTCCACTACTCAATTTCAAAAGGCAGTTTTCCTGAGAACTAATTAAAAAAGGAAGTATAAAGATGCATTGCGGTTTCGAAGACATATACCAGCATAGCTTCAGGTGTATCAACTTGTGAGTTGTGATCTGTGTATTTGCCACACTGGGTCTTTAGTTTCTGCTCAATGGTTTTCAGAAGTTTCACCCAGACATTTGGGGAAAGTTCACTCTTCTGTTCTAGAGGCCAATTGGACAAGGAGGCATGTGAAGAGAATTAGATGATGTCTTGCACTATGAGTTTGGATTCTTTGCAGATTCTGAACCTGGGATATATTTAACATGCTCTGTAGTACCAGTTCTTCCATCTCTAGTATAGGTCCATATTCACAATTGCCTATTTGGAGTATTTAATTGTGGCCCCTGTCAATATCACAGTTGGAATACATGCCTTCTCTTGAAATCACACTATATTAGCAAGCAATAAATAATAAAATATAGATACTTCTTGGATTATTACACTAATTTGGCTTGGATGCATGGTCATATACTAGACCAATCATTGTAACTATGGTAGATTTTTAAAAAAATTCTGTGCAATTTTTTTTTTTTTTTTGCAATCACTCAAGTCATTACGCAAACATGGCAATAGTAAATGCAACAGTCATGAAGCAACCCATTGTATCAATCACCATTTTTTGCCAGAAAATAGAAGTAAATGCTAGTTTGCAGAGGAAAAAATTGTAAATTGTGGTCATGTGACAGCAGGATTCAGGAAACAATTGTAAATGTGATCAGTGCCAAGCACCAAACAATGTGATCACTTGACTTTGAGGATGGGTGGCCATCGGAACTTTGAAACTGGATTTGTAGGTAGGTCTGGGATGGTCTCTCATAATTTCAAATGGCCACTAAGTGATTAGTCATAAGTTGAGGAATACTTGTAGTAGAATAGATTTAAATCAAATATTTTTTTTAAAAAAATACACAAATGAAAGAGATAATACATAAATATACTATGCAATAGTATATTTTGCTTATAAACTGAAAATTAAACTCAAAGATTTGAAAGAGTGTAAATCAAAGTAAGTGATATTGGATTACAATTTTAAATTATTTGTTTCCAAATAAACAATCTGAAGAAATGAGGGATAGAATTTTATGTTTTTCTGTAGGTTTGTCTTCTTAGCTGTTCTTTGTTGTTCAGATCAGGCCTCAACAAAATGATATAGCATTTAGGAAAAAAAATACAAATCAGTAACCCAACACTAGAAGCAATAATAGAGAAGATCTCCACAGCAACCATATATTTTCCCTTGGTGCTCAGATATGTTGGAACGAAGGACAACCAAACACTACAAAAGACCAACATGCTGAAGGTGATAAACTTGGCTTCATTGAAAGCATCAGGCAATTTCCTTGCTAGAAAAGCCACCATGAAGCTGATGATGGCAAGGAGACCCATATAGCCCAAGACACAGTAGAACATGAAGACTGAACCTTCATTACACTGCAGAAAGATTTCTTCTGCCCCTGAATTAGTGTCAGCATCTGGGAATGGGGGAGAGGTTGTCACCCATATAATGCAAATAATTCCTTGAATTAAACTGCAGCTCAACACAAAGAACATGGCCAATCTTCTCCCCATCCATTTGGTTATCTTAGACCCAGGCTTAGTAGCCATGAAAGCCAGAACTACAATGATGGTTTTGGCCAAGACACAAGAAATGGCCACAGAGAAGATAATACCGAAAGCTGTTTGGTGAAGGAGACACGTCACCGTGCCAGGTTTTCCAAGGAATAATAACGAACAAAGAAAAGACAAGAAGAGAGCAATAAGGAGAGCATAGGTGAGATTCCGGTTGTTGGCTTTGACTATGGGAGTGTCCTGGTGCTTAATAAAGATCCAAAGGATTCCAGTTGTGATCAAAGAAAAGAAAACAGCAGAACTGGCCAAGATGATCCCCAAAGTTTCTTCATACATCAAAAATGTTACAATCTTTGGAAGACACAAATCGTGGTTCACATTTGCGTATTGATCACTTGGACACTGAAAACAATCATCCATATCTAGAAAAACAAATTAGCAACTTACAAATTGCATTGAAAGAATCAAGCCTGAGCACTATATTTTAAGAAAAAAGAATTGATTTTATAACATGTGGTAATCAAATACACTGGTAAATTTCCCATTTGAAACCCTTTTTTCCAAGATTCACTACTTGATATCACTGTTGAAATCCATTCCATAAACTGAATGCTGATCAATATACTACCGTTTATTCCATCCATTTGTCAAAGGGAATATTTAATCTAGAGCAGGGGTGTCAAACTCAAGGTCTGCAGGCCACATCTGGCCTGCTGGGTGCTTAGATCTGACCCACGGGGCCACCCTGGAAATAGTGAAGGTCTGGTTCGCAGTGCCTCTATCAGCAAAAATGGAGCCCAGGGTGCATGGCTCCTCTGAGTTCCATTTTCTCTGGCAGAGGGCTACAGGAGGCCATCGCAGCAAAATATGGAGCTCAAGAGGACTGCGCAGATGCCCTTCAAATTCTGTTTTTGCTGGCAGAGGGCTACAAGAGGCTGTCATGGCTGAAAGTTGAGCTCACAAAGCTGCATGTTGCCCCCCATCCCAGCTCTGTTTTCGCTGGCAGAGGGCTGCAGGAGGCCATCACGGAGCTCGGGAACCCATTTTCGCTGGCAGAGCATTCAGGCCATAGGCACCCCCCCCCCAAAAAAAAAATGAGTGACATCAAACTGGCCAAGCCCCACCGGCTCCCCAAAATCAAACACAACCTTGATGTGGCCCTCAATGAAATCAAGTTTGACACCCCTGATCTAGAGCATCAGTCTAAACTTTTCATTTCTGTCCTAACTCATAATTTTATTTAGGCATATTTTCTAGGCTACAAATGGAAGAACTCACCAACTTGGTTGGAAATCTTCCCATGTGGACATTGTAGGCAATCATAACAACAAAATGGCTTCCCTTCTATCTTGCGCCTGGCATGACCTGAATGGCACTTACTATTACACAAAGACAGAGGTTGGACCTGTTCATGAAGGAAAAAGAAATTGTTTTGTCTTTGACAATTTTTTTTAATAGTAATTCAGTACTAAGGAGTGTCATTGATTTTCCTTCATTATGTTTAATTTATTCACAAGAGAGAAGGATTACTTCAGTTGGAGACAATGCTCAGCCATAGAGCCATTGATTTTTCATCAAAAGCCAAAATGTTTTCAATATCCTTGGCACAACCTTACTTTTCCACATATGGATGGCTCTTGCTGAATAGGAAAACTCAGTTTTATTTCAATAGGACAAGAAATATATTTTCTACTTCTTAAATGTTTCCATTTCTCCATTCATAAACCTAACATAGAAGACATTCAAGACTTCACCAGATAGAGAAATATTGTAATAATCTCCAGATTTGTCTGGACAATCTTTAGGAATCTTGAAGTATTTGTAATATTTTGCATCTGAATCTAATTTCTGTATGGGTGTCAGTGTTCCAAGTAATGCACCCATAGGAAACAAAACTCTGAGGCAGGCCAAGTTCCTCAAAGAACAGTTTATTGGATACATCATATTGTCACAACTGATGAAATCTGACTCTGAAATTTCCCACGGCTTTCACCTGATTAAAAGTAAAAGTTTCCTCTTTCTCCCCAAGTCACTGGTCATGCTGTCCAATCCAAGTGCTGGCCAGTCGCTTGGTTACTGGCTTCTCCTCTGGCCAGCCACCTGTGTGAATGTTCTTGGTTCCCACAGGAAAACTTTATTGTTTTGGCTACAAAACCCCATCTAATATTTCCCCCCTCCTACCATTGTGTGGCAACCCTGGAGCCTTCAAGATGGCTTCAGCTAGGCTTACTTCAGGGTTGACAGTGGGATTTTGACTCTAAGACAACTTGAGGGATGACAGAAAGTTATTTGTCTAAAAACCAAAATGAAACTGGCCATGCCTGATTAAATCTCCTTGGCCATACAATATTATCTTCATCAATGATGAACAATGCTTTCTGGGAATCCATGGGATCCATCCTTCCAACTCTGACTCTCAGAAAAGATAGATTGGGGAATGTGATCCAATTCATAATATCAAAACCAGTCTCCAATTCTCCATTAGGGTTGAAAGAAACTTTTTGTCCAGCGCTATTATTAAATGAGATCCTTCTCATAAATTGGTTAAGCTACATGGGAAATGGAGAAGGGACAAAGGAGAGAGAGAGAGAGAGAGAGAGAGAGAGAGAGAGAGAGAGAGAGAGATCAGATATCCCAAAGTGATAAGATTCATAAATCCTTTCAAAGATATAATATTTTTCAAACCTTAAGGAAGGATAGTAGGCAATGCAATAACCCTGTAAATAATCTTGTAAACCATCACTAAATGAAGTGTCCTGTAGAGCACAAAGAGAAAATAAAGCAACTAAAATATAACTTGGATCAAAGAACCAAGAATAAAATGCAAAATAAAATAATTTTAGTTACATTTGTAAAGTATTGCTACAACTGATTGGATTAAATATTGATAGGCTGATGATCATTATCTCAAGTTGCCTTTCAAGGTCAAAGATTCTTCAATCAGAGAGCGCTGGATATCAAAGTCAGTGCCCTAAGGTGATACCTCTGAAAACCTGAAAGATGATATTTTCCTTTTTTTTTTCAAGTATGGAAAGGGCAGATTGATAATCTATGGAAATATATATTTTTTTTCTCCATGAAAACAAAGAAGAATTCTGATATCTACAACAAGACTTGAACCTGTGATTAAACTGCAGTCAACAACTGAAACTCTGTAGGAATCATGAAGTTATACGTAGACCTTTCTGAATAGAATATACATATATACACATCAAGCCAAATAAATAACTGAACATAAAATGAAAGACATCACAAATTTCACACTCTTGCTTAATTAATATGCAGATATTTTAATAAATTTGTCAGCGTTCCAAGTAATGCACCCATAGAAGACAGAACTCTAAGGCAGGCAAATTCCTCAAAGAACAATTTATTGGACACATCATATTGGCATAACTGATGAAAGCCGACTCTGAAAGTTCTTGCGACTTTCACCTAATTAAAAAGTAAACATTTCCCCTTTTCCCCAAGTCACTGGTCACACTGTTGCTGGCCGGTTGTTTGGTTACTTCACTCCTCCTCTGGCCAGCCACCTGTGAGAATGTTCTTGGTCCCCACAGGAAAACTTTATTGTTTTGGCTACAGAACGCCATCTAACTATTTTCCTCCTCCTTCTATTGTGTGGCAAGCCTGAAGCCTCCAAGATGGCGTCAGGGCCTCACTTCACTGTTGACAAAATTATAGTTTATTATTTATTTTATTTCCAAATTACTTTTGTTTACAACCCATCTCACTGCACAAGGAACATGGTGGCTCAGTGGCTAAGATGCTGAACTTGTCGATCAGAAGGTCAGCAGTTCAGCGGTTTGAATCCCTACCACTGCATAATGGAGTGAGCTCCCGTTACTTGTCCCAGCTTCTGCCAATCTAGCAGTTCTAAAGCACATAAAAAATGCAAGTAGAAAAATAGGGACCACTTTGGTGGGAAGGTAACAGCGTTTCGTGCGCCTTTGGCATTTAGTCATGCCGGCCACATGACCACAGAGAGTTCTTTGGATAGTGCTGGTTCTTTGGCTTAGAAACAGAGATGAGCACTGCCCCCTAGAGCCAGAAACGACTAGCACACATGTGGAGGGAAACCTTTACTTTTACATTTCACTGCAAGGCAACAAATAATGATATTATTCGGACTACAATTGGAGAGAAGACATGTAACAAAACAAACATGTCTAGTTACATTCCCCTTGGAAGAATTCATTAAATTTAGGTTTAAGGATCAGGGTTGCAGATATTGTGAGAAGCCAGTAACTGGTTTGTTCAAGGTTTACCTTCCACAGCTTTTCATTCAGATGTTCCAGTTTGGCTTCATCATGCCCTCTAGCTCTGTATGCTGTTATTGATGAATGGAAGTCATGCAAAGCATGTGCCACCGCATAGATGGCATTGTAGATGCTATAGCTGTGGTCAGTCATGTCCATGTCAAACACGGATGTAGGAAGAACTTTCAGTTTCTCCTTTCCAGTGCAGGGAACCACATTTTCATCTTCATTCATCGCAGAGATGGGGAAGGAACATTGAAAGGCACTTTCCCAGAACAGCTTGAGAAAAGTATTTTCTTTTTCTAAGATGGGGTCCTTCATCTGAACAAATGTCTGGAACCCTGACACTTTCTCTGAGTGAATTGCAAAAGAAAGAGCACCATGGAGGAAAACTAGGTCACCATTTCTTAGAAAGGGAAGTGAAGTGAAAATCACCTGGGCTGTCAGAAACCAGACTTTATCTTTTTTCCATAATGGTAAATCTTCAGATTTCAGGTTCGTGGAAAGAAATCTCAGAATTGTTATTGCATGAATTTGGCCATGAACTAGTACGACGTTAACTGTGCTTTTCATAACCACCATGTACATTACGAGTCCCAATTCGACCAACTCAGCAATCTTATTTGAATAATCAATGATTGGAAATATTTCAATGAAGGCTGAGCAGATCCCCTTCTGGGCTAACATGGGAACCACATTTTGTACAAATCTCTCTCCGCTGTCATATTTCGCAGTCAAGATCCCAATCCATGTCCATCCAAAGTACAGCAGTAATAGGAAAATTCCCTTATATTGATGGTCTATATTTGGGGAAATTTGTAGATATGAAGCAGCCTTTCTTCTGTTATTATCTTCAATAGAGGAACCATAGATTAACTTAAAAAGAAAAAGAAGAATACAGGTGAATGGGCAACAGAGTGCTTATTATCTTCTTTTTAAGGCAGCATGTGCAATAATATTATTTACCTATTTAACCTACAACATAGATATTAAGGTTCAACACATATTTCTTATTTTGATTACACCTCTACTTCACATATATATTCAGAATATTCCATGTGGATTTTTAAAGTCATCAATCCAAAGAGTTGTATCAGCAAATGTGACTTAAGATACATTTAAAAATGTCCTAATAGTTTGCATTTTATGGAAATGAAGTTTTATACTGTATTACTGAAACAATGCTTTTAACATCCTCCTGCTTGGCTTTCCACTTTTATATTGCAACAAAGAATATAAGAATTTCTCCACAATACATCAGATACGACTGATGTAATATTCCATTAAAAAGGTGAAAGTTCCCCTTGCACTTTGTGCTAGTCGTTCCTGACTCTAGGGGGCAGTGCTCATCTCTGTTACAAAGCCAAAGAGCCAGCACTGTCCAAAGATGTCTCTGTGGTCATGTGGCTGGCATGACTAAATGCCAAAGGTGCACAGAGTGCTATTACCTTCCCACCAAAAGTGGTCCCTATTTTTCTACTTGCATTTTTTACATGCTTTCGAACTGCTAGGTTGGCAGAAGCTGGGACAGGTAATGGGAGCTCACCCAGTTACACAGCACTAGGGATTTGAACTGCTGAACTGCCGACCTTTAGATCGACAAGCTCACCGTCTTAGCCACTGAGCCATCATGTCTCTCTAATATTCCATTACAATTAATCTAATTTCTCTATCACTATTGCCCCAATTCCTGTCATATTCAATAATTAATTTTTCCCCAATTAATTCTGCATTCTATTGTTTTCATTAAATATCATTTTTATTTTATTATATAAAATATAAAAGACAAAAAAAGGAAAAAGAAAATAGGAAATTAAGGATGGGAAAAGGAACAGTGAAAAGAGGGTGTGAAATACAAGGGGGGAGAGAAAAAGAAAGAAAAGGGGGCAGTGACTTCCAACTCTTCCTAACACGGTACAAGATAAACATACTCCAGCCTCAAATTTTTGCTTTTACATTCTTTTATTTTCAGTCAATATCATTAAAGGAAACTGGAATTGACAGATTGATAAATTGTCATGTAAAACACTCTTTCTCGGTTCCTAATTCTGAGAATATATATATTTTAGATGCCATTTTTCTTAAATATGACTTTAATAGAGAATCAAACCTTAGAAAAGCAGAGCACATACCCTTAATATTCTTAGAGCTATCAAATGATAAAATGTCAAAAGAGTTATGGACACAAGTCTGGGGAATTAGCTCGTCACAGCTGAATTAAGAATAGAATAACAGAGTGAGATTATTAAGAAAATTATGGAATGTGCTGAAATGAGTAAATTGACATTTGAAATTAGAGAACAGGAAGAGAAACAATATTATTTGATATGGGATTTGTTTTATCAATGGATAGATAATAAATCATGGAACTGAAGTATGAAATATGGGGTTGATGTAAAGATAAAATATCTGATGTTTTTTTTTTCTATAAAAGATATAAGTTTCTGTTATAAATTGGTATTTTAGAAATGGATTTACACAGAAGAGAATATGAACCGTTCGACTCACTGTCTGTAATTGTTTGGAATGATTATGGTTTTATGTTTTGTTTTTGTTTTAAAATAAAAAAAAATTCTCCAAAAAAAAAAAAAAGAATAGAATAACAGAGTTGGAAGGGATCTTGGAGGTCTTCTAATCCAACCCCCAGTGTTGGAGCATTCACAACTTCTGGAGGCAAGTTGTTCCACTGATTAATTGTTCTAACTGTCCAGAAATTTCTCCTTAATTCTAAATTGCTTCTCTCCTTAATTAGTTTCACCCATTGCTTCTTATCCTATCCTCAGGTGCTTTGGAGAATAGCTTGACTCCCTCTTCTTTGTGTCAGCCCCTGAGATATTGGAACACTGCTATCATGTCCCTAGTCCTTCCTTTATAGTACCCAAGAAGCTTTGTTAAGAATAATCTCTTTAATTCAAGAATAACCCTTTCTTTCCTATATCCTAAATTCTCCCATTTAAAGCAAGGAACAGTGCATTGGTGATTATCTACTTGGTCTGAGTTCTATCACAGATCATACCTGTGGAATCTTGTAAAGGGACAGGATGGTAGCCATATGTGCACACACATCAGATGTAGGACCTCCAAGGACTGCTATTGGTCTGTGCTGTGTATCACAATTGTAGTTAGGAAGGAACTGCCCCTTTCTAGAGAAAAGCTGCAGTGAGGCCCGATACGTCCAACTTGTCAAGAAGTAGGTATTATAGATTTGAAAACCGAGGGTGTGATTGGGTAAAATATTGGAATTTCTGTTGATCTCTGTGATGGCATATTCTAAGGCCAAGATGTGCTGATAGATTGGAGTCATGATCCTGGAAAAGGAAACACATATCTTGTCACCATGCATTGATAATATTTCTTATTTTATTATACTCTACAAAAGAGCATGATAGAATAACATTGCAATCCTTTTTATTTTAATGAGCAATGTCAAAGTGAGGTCACCATAGCCCTTGAAAAATTATTGCCGATGAAAAGGATTTTTGCTTCCCAAAATCTTCCAGTATTTGTTGTTACATATCATAATTTCAAAACCCAAAGCCACTTATTGTAAAATGGTACCGATGCATTCTGGAACAGTAGAGCCACTCCATTTTCTTTAAATTATTATTGATGGCACCAAATAAATAATTAAATAGATAGCTTGCATTTTTCATACAGGCATTCTCCCAAACAATGCATTTATTACATGATAAGGATCAAAATTACCATTCAATCCCGGCATTTTTTATACATAACTTGGAAACAGAAAGAATAGAAATAGAGAAGAAATTGACCAAAAACGGGAGCCCAACTTCTTCCATGATGTCAGAGAAAATTTATAATTTAATCTTAATCATTCTGAATCTTTATTAAGACTCTACTTAATAAATTGGTTATTACACTGAATATCATACATGTCCCAACTAGTAATTTTTAATGCTGGAATGAAGATGCAGTGGAGAATTCTCATGGCAACGTTTGAAAAAGAAACGCCCAATTATTATTATTTTTTTAAAAAAAGATAAAAAGATTTATTATCTAGAAATTTGTCTGTTCATTAAAAAAAAAAAAAAAATCCAGAGAAGGACATGTGTGTAAACTATTTTAAGATGAGGACTCTTAGGAAGATTCCTGTACAGAACCTCAATCTGTGCATGCCTAAAAGTTGAAACACAAACTATTGAAGATGCTTTCTGGACAACATAAGTTGACTGAATGTGTAGTTTGGTAAAACATCCCCTTATAGTACCATAAAATTATATATCAATGGAAAGATAATTTAATCAAGAATGTAATCCTTTTATGAAGGATTTGCTATTAGAATAGCAGTTACAGTATAAAGAAGAAAAGTGAAACATGTAGAAAAAATAAGATATACAAAAATTATCACGCCAGTTAATACTTCATTGGGTAACCTTCAGCCTTGCAACGTCTTCCCATGGAATGAACCAAGTCTTTGAGTTCTGCAGCTGTTATAATGTGAAACCAAGATTGAATGATTGCTTCTGTTAATTGGGTTTTATTGCTGGGTTGCTTCTGACTAACAAGTGTCTTTAGTTGGAACAATTGGAAGTTTGAATCTTTTTTCCCCCTGCAGGATATAACAATCACATCCTGATTATGGATTATGAAGATATTTATGAAAAGGAACAGGAGGAGAAGATGATGATGGAAAAGGAGGAAGAGTCCAAGGGTGAAGATAGGGCCATCCAGCAAAGGAAAGATCATACCAATCATTGTGAACTGAGGCTAATATTAATGTGAACAGACATCCTAATTGAAATCAATGTTTTCTGGGACTACAATCTTACACAGTATCCTCAAAGAGCTCCTTAGAGGGACGTTTGCTGAAGTCCATCATTGCCTGGAAGACATAGAGCTGAGAGAACATATTCACAATAATGAGATCTCCTGACTGATATTGCTTGTGAAGAAAAGGCAGGGGGTCACTGATCCTACATGCAGCCCTGCGATTCTTGCATACCACTTGAGGTAAAGGCAGAATAACCAATACTGCAAATGTCACCATCTTTGACAATAGCATTTCTTCTTCTGTAAGCTAATGTCTGTGAACCAATGTTCTCCTTCATTAAATATAATTTTACTTGAGCTAATGGTTCAGTTACCCCTCCCCTGTCCTTCAGGACTTAGAGCTAAATTTGAAATAATTATATAGGAATTGAGTCTCAGTGGCACAGTGGTTAGAGTGCAGTACGGCAAGCTACTTCTGCTGGCTGCCGACTGCCTGCAATTTGGCAGTAATCCCACCTGGCTCAAAGTTGACTCAGCCTTCCAAGGTGGTTAAAATGAGGACCCAAATTTTGGGGGGCAATATGCTGACTCTAAAACTGCTTGGAGAAGGCTGTAAAGCATTGTAAAATGATATACATCTAAGTGCTATTGCTGCTATTGATAATTGATAATTGCAGTAGAAAAATCAAGAGTGTCAGAAGCAAAATCTTGGAAAACTTTGAACAGGAAAGCATGTTTTTGTCATCTTAGCAGAGATCTCTTTTAGAATTCTGCAGCGTGGTGGCAAGAGATATAGATGTTTGCAGTTACTGAGAGCAAGAGAAGAATCCTAACTCTAATGATAACTTTTCTTGCATTTGTAGAAGGACAGGAAGAGAGTTTAATATTAACTGAAAAAGAGCTTAATATTAATTCACAGAAGAGTTATACCATGGGCCAAATGTTAAAGGGCTCCTTATATTTCAAAACCCATTTTGGAACCCCTTCGGCCCCTTTTGAGAATAATGCTCTTTGAATGCCTGCAATCAGAGGGAATATTTGACAAAAGACCTAAAGAATTATTAAACAGAGTTAAAAACAGGAATGCCCTCCACCTAAACATACTCTGTATCACTCAAATACTTTGGCTACCTAACGAGAAGGAAGGACTCGCTGGAGAAGAGCCTAATGCTGGGAAAGACTGAGGGCAAAAGAAGAAGGAGACGACAGAGAATGAGGTGGCTCGATAGAGTCACTGAAGCAGTAGGCGTGAGCTTAAATGGACTCCAGAGGATGGTAGAGGACAGGAAGGCCTGGAGGAATGTTGTCCATAGGGTCACGATGGGTTGGACACAACTTTGCAACTAACAACAACAAAAATTGTTGGCATATGTTGTCTAAAAAGTAACTTAGAATGAGATGATGTGATGTCTGAAAAATAACCTAGAATGTGTTAAAGTACTTCAAATACATATGAGAACAACATGGAGGGACGTCTATGGAGATTCTCAGTCATTCAGGTCATGGTTGTCCCAATCAGTGGTGGGTTGCCCCCGGTTTGCACCGGTTCTATAGAACCAGTAGTAAAACTGGCAGGAGGCTCCTCCCACTGACCCTGAGGTCATCAAAACGCTTCTGTGCATGTGAAGAAGCTTCTGCGCTTGCGCAGAAGAGCGCGTGCACACGGCCCAGTTGCAAACTGGTAGTAAAGGTAAGTAGAACCCACCCCTGGTCCCAATGGTGCTTTTTTTTCCCCAAGAGGCATATAGACTTCCTTGTTTTTCTTTGAAGATGGTTTGCTTCTTATTCCAGGAAGCTTTTTTTAGTCAGAGCTGAAGAAGCTTATTGGATAAATAACAGAACAGAATAACAGAATTGGAAGAGACCTTGGAGGTCTTCTAGTCCAACCCCCCACTCAGGTAGGAAACCCTATATCATTTCAGACAAATTGCTGTCCAACTTCTTCTTAAATACTTCCAGCGTTGGAGCATTCACAACTTCTGGAGGCCAGTTATTCCACTGATTAATTATTCTAACTTTCAGGAAATTTTTCCTTAGTTCTAGGTTGCTTCTATCCTTGATTAGTTTCCATTCATTGCTAAATGTCTATAGATATTATCAGTCATTTCCATCCATTGCTTCTTGTCCTGCATTCAGGTGCTTTGGAGAATAGCTTGATTCCCTCTTCTTTGTGGCAATCCCTGAGATATTGGAACACTGCTATCATGTCACCCCTAGCCCTTATTTTTGTTAAACTAGATATACCCAATTCAGCAACCATAGTGCTTTAAAGCCTTTTCTAAGTGGTTTACAGAGTCAGCATATTGCCCCCAACAATGTGGGTCCTCATTTTACCTATCTCAGAAGGATGGAAGGCTGAGTCAACCTTGAGCCTGGTGAGATTCGAACTTGCAGTAATTGCAGTCAGCCAGCAGTCAGCAGAAGTAGCCTGCAGTACTGCATTCCAACCACTGTGCCACCACGGCTCTTTACAATAACAATGGCTCTTTACAATAACAATAACAAATGAAATAGATGGTATGTAAATGACAATATTTTATTTTGTCTATCAAGTGAGAAATAGACCTGAAGATTAGAAACCATTATTCTAAGTAAGTGATATTGGATCAGAACATTAAATGATTCTGTTTTCTTACAACAATCTAAAACAATGAGACATATAATTTATGTTTTTTTGTGGGTTTGTCTTCTTAGCTGCTGTTTGCTGTTTAGAGAAGGTCTCAGGACAATGATATAGCACTTAGGGAAAAAAATACAAATCAGTAGCCCAACACTAGAAGCTATAATGGAGAAGATCTCCACAGCAACCATATATTTCCCCTTGGTGCTCAGGTATGTTGGAACAAAGGACAACCACACACTGCAGAAGACCAACATGCTAAAGGTGATAAACTTGGCTTCATTGAAAACATCAGGCAATTTTCTTGCTAGGAAAGCCACTGTAAAGCTAATAATGGCAAGGAAGCCCATGTAGCCCAAGACACAATAGAACATGTAGACTGATCCTTCATTACACTCCAGAAAGATTTCTTCTGCCCCTGAACTCATGTCAGCATCTGGGAATGGGGGAGAGGTTGTCAGCCAAATAGTGCAAATAAATCCTTGAAGCAAGGTGCAGCACAATATGATAGACACTGCTAATCTTCTTCCAACCCATCTGGTCATCTTAGACCCAGGCTTAGTGGCCATGAATGCCAAAATCACAATGATGGTTTTGGCCAAGACACAAGAAATGGCCACAGAGAAGATGATACCAAAAATAGTTTGACGAAGGAGACACGTCACTTTTTCAGGTTTTCCAAGGAATAATAATGAACAAAGAAAAGAAAAGAAGAGAGCAATAAGGAGAGCATAGGTGAGATTCCGGTTGTTGGCTTTGACTATGGGAGTGTCCTGATGCTTAATAAAGATCCAAAGGATTCCAGATGTGACCAAACAAAAGAAAAGCACAGAAGTGGCGAAAATGATCCCCAGAGTTTCTTCATACATCAAAAATGTTGCAGTCTTTGGAAGGCACAAATCCTGCTTCACATTTGCATACTGATCTTCTGGACACTGAAAGCAATCATCCATGTCTACAAAATAAATTAGCAATTTAGGAATTACATGGAAAGAATCAAAACTGAGCCATGCACATTACAAAAAAGACAAGGGGGTTTTTTTTATGTTTGAAAAACAATCACAGTGGTAGACTTTCAATAAAGTTCTTTTTGAAAACCAGTGGTGGGTTTCCAATATTCTTACCACTGGTTCGCCAGGCGCATGCACATGCCTTCCGTGCATGCGTCTGGCCTTTTGCACATTCGCTTTGCTCACTCGCACATCTTCCAAGCATGCCAAAGGTGGTATTGACCAGGTTTTGACCAGTTCTGGAGAACCGGTAGCGGAAACTTTGAGTAGTTCAGAGAACTGGTAAATACCACCTCAGACTGGCCCCACCCCCATCTATTCTCTGCCTCCCGAGTCCTAGCTGATCGGGAGGAAATGGAGATTTTGCAGTAACCTTCCCCTGGGGTGGGATGGGAATGGAGATTTTACAGTATCCTTCCCAAGCCATGCCCACAGAACCAGTAGTAAAAAAATTTGAATCCCATCACTGGCGCTTGCGCCTGGCCTCAAAAACATGCCCAAATAGGACATCATAGAGCCGGGGTGGGTGGATGGGCTGGGGTGGGTGGGTGGTTTCGGCCCACCCACAATCTTCACTACTGGTTCACCCAAACTCGTATGAACTGGCTGAATACCACCTCTGTTGAAAACTCCTTTGCTGCAAAACACTACTTGATATCACCGTAGACATCCATTCCATAAACTGAATGCTGGTCAATTTCCATGTTTTACTCCATCCATTTGTCAGGTGGAACAATTACTCCCAAACATTACTCATTGCTCTTTTGACCCACCATTTTATTAAGGCACTGCATATTTTCCAGGATACCAAATGCAAGAACTCACCGACTTGGTTGGAAATCTTTCCATGTGGACATCGTAGACAATTATAGCAACAAAATGGCTTCCCTTCTATCTTGCTTCTCGTAGAACCTGAATGGCACTTACTATTACACCAAGATAGAGGTTGGACCTGTTCAAGAGGGAAAGAAGAAAATGCTTTGCTTTGGCAAAATTTTTTTAATGGTAATACAGTACTGGAATGTCATAATGCTTTGCTTCCATGCCTTTAAAAATGGTTAGCTTCTGTTTTAGTTTATTCACATGAGAGAAGGTTTATTTCTGTTTATTTCTTCCAGCCCTTTCAGCACTTTGTAACATTAAATAAGGATTATAAGATCAATATATAGGAATCTAAGTATGTAGGTATGTAGTTTGATAAACTACTTTTACTCCTTGTGTTTTTCTACACAATCCAAACTGTGTGCTAAATCCTTGGCACATTCTGCCTTTTGCAGCTCTTGATATCAATGGGAAAACATACACTTTTATGTCAATATGATAAGAAACTTCAACTCTTAAATACCCCAGTCCCTCTAGCTACATATCTAATTTAGAAAAGACAGCCAAAGGTTCACTAGATGGTTCAGAGATTTGTCTAGAGAACATTTAGGAATCTTGGAATCCTTGAAACATTCTGTAGCTTAATCTAATTTCTGTGTAGGATTTTGAATCTAAGACAATTTGAGGACTGACAGGGGTTTAAAAGGAGAGGTGAAATCCAGTAGGTTCTGACAGGTTCTGGAGAACTGGTAGCGGAAATTTTGAATAGTTTGGAGAACTGCCAAATACCACCTCTGTCTGGCCCCAGAGTGGGTTGGGCACGGAGATTTTGCAATATCCTTCCCCCAGGAGTGGGGAGGGAATGGGAATTTTGCGGTATCCTTCCCCTGGAGTGGGATAGAAATGGAGATTTTGCAGTATCCTTCCCCTGCCACACCCACCAAGCCACGCCCACAGACTTGGTAGTAAAAAAATTTGAATTTCACCACTGTCTAAAAGCCAAAATGAAACTGACCATACCTGGTTAAACCTCTCTGGCCATACAATATCATCCTCATTAATGGTGAACAATACCCTTTGGGAGTCCTTGGGGTCCATCCTTCCAACTGTGACTCTCAGAAAAGATAGATTGGGAAATGTGATCCAATTCATAATATCAAATCCAGTTTCCAATTCTCCATTTTGGTTGAAAGAAACCTTTTGTTCAGCACTATTATTGAATGAGACCCCCCTCATAAATTTGTTGAGCTACATTGGAAAAGAAGCCAAGACAACGTTAGATGAATGGGTGAGTGGATGGATGGACAGATAGATAGATAGATAGATAGATAGATAGATAGATAGATAGATGATAGATAGATAGATAGATAGATAGATAGATAGATAGATAGATAGATTAGATTAGATAAAATAGATTGGATGGATGGATGGATGGATGGAGAAAGAGAGAGAGAGAAAGATAGACAGAGAATAGATAGATGATAGATGAGATAGATAGATAGATAGATAGATAGATAGATAGATAGATAGAGAAGATAAATATAGATAGATTAGATGATAGATAGATAGATAGATAGACAGATAGATAGATAGATAGATAGAGACAGACAGAGAGACAGACAGACAGAGAGACAGACAGAAATATAGAAGCTCAAGATGATAAGATTCATCCCCCCATTTTAAGATAGGTGCTGATTCTGGTGAGGCTGGTGAATAGAATCTCTTCACCTAGTAGAGGACACTGTGGCCAAAAAGCAGCTGGACATGAGAATCAGTGTGCTGATCATTCTCAAATCAAAGAGCAATCTTGAGATCACCCTTCTATGCTCCTAACGCCTTTTTTTTGTGTGAATCAATAGCAGAAATGGGTGTTTCTGCAGCTCCTTGTGGTCTTCTGAGAGTTATGGGTTCCATCATGTCATGAGCTATTAATGTATTTTTTATTTTTTAAGGACTCAAAGTTTAACCTAGTTCATCTCTTTAATCGCCTTAGGAGTTTAATTTTCTTTGTATTGCTTTTTTAAAGATTAAAAACCCCTTCTGAACTCACAGGTTTGTATTAGCTGGATGACACCATGTTTAATCTGTTAAAAAGAAATAAAAATACATAGTTCCCGCTTGATAAGATTTTATTTTTTGTAATAAATAAGACAGGATGACTATAGCATTGTTTTACTGTTTAAATACCAAGAATTTGGATGAAAAATTGATTTAAACCAAGATTAAAAAAGATTAAAAATTGATTTAAACCAAGAAGTCAACTAAAAACATATTCTTTTGTGAGAAAGAATGTCTTTGGTGAGAAAGCTTTGAAGACTAACCTTTAGAAAAATGCTAAAAGGTGGCATCATTAAAGAAAATTCATAATGTATGGATTCAAGAACTGTAGGAACCAAAAAGAAATATACTGCAACTAAAAATGTTGTACAGAACTTCCTTCAAACAAAATTGAAAAGGATATTTCAGAGGACTCTAAAATAATAAGCTATAAGAAAAAGATGGAATATTGAATCTACAAACCAAGCAGGAGGACGATTTAAAGGACAGCAAAAGAATGATGTGAGACAATATATTCAGTGGTGTAATTAATTTTTTTTATTACCGGTTCTGTGGGCGTGGCTTGGTGGGTGTGGCTTGGTGGGCGTGGCAGGGGAAGGATACTGTAAAATCTCCATTCCCTCCCGGGGTGACTACCTCCTTTCCAGCTCTGTGTGCAGGGCAACAAAAGAAGAGCCAGCCGATCAGATGGGACTTGATCAGCCGGGACTCGGAAGGCAGCGAATAGATGAGGGTGGGGCCAGTCAGAGGTGATATTTGCCGCTTCTCCAAACTACTCAAAATTTCTGCTACTGGTTCTCCAGAATTGGTCAGAACCGACTGAATACCACCTCTGAATATACCTAATATTGCACATCTCGACCGCAGCAAGAATTGTATATGCGCAGCGAAAACACCCTTTCACAGGAGGAGACGATAAGGAAGATACTAGTCTGTGAAGAAATGGACAGACTAACGCTAAGAATAAAAGATAAAGGAGATACAGAATACTATGCTACATGGGATATTTTCTATCAATGGTTAGAAACACGAGGCAGAAGTTGGAATGCGAAAGAATCAGATTAGGTGAACATGGAAAGAGACATTATGTATGTATTAGACTGTAGGTATTAGAATGGTAGATAAGTTGACATACTGGAATACGATGGTCAGAAATTACTGTACATCACTAACACTGTTTAACATAGTATATATGTTACTTTGTTTTTACCTTTGTTTCATGGCAAGTGGAACGCCAGGACAATTACACTGTATTCAATATATTTATATGTAAACAATAAAAAAATATATTTCTAAAAAAAAGAATGATGTGGATTGCTTATTTTTGAGATATGAGAGATTTGCTAGAGAGGCTGCACTGAAATTACAAATGGACTTTGATAAAGATGACAAGGATGTTAATGAGAGGAAAGATAGAGCAGAAAAAAAAACAATTTGATACATGGGATTAAGGATTGTTGGGAGGAAAAGAAAAATGCAGCAATGGTTTATTTGATTATGGTTAAATAAAAGGTTGATATGTCTGGTGTTGTTCAGTTGATATTTTGACTGATTGGAGGTAATGGTTTAATCTGTAATATTTATATTCTTACTTTTGGTATGTAAATCAGAGCTTATTATTATAGTAGGTTCCTGTCTGTGGTGATGTTTAATGATTATTTTGGAAACATTTTGCTTTAGAATTATAATATTGGGGATTTAGTTCATCATATCTATTTTAGGGCTTTTGTTAATGAGGGATTACTATCTCTGGACATGTTTAATTATTTTTAATTGTTGCAATGTTTAATTGTTAATTGAGATAAGACTTTTCTTATTGTAATGATGCATTAGGAGGATTAAACAATGTTTAATTTTTATTTGAGATTAGAGCTTTCTTGTTGTTATGAGGCACTGGGGGATTAGGGATTTAAATAGAAATGGGGATACATATCTACATTGCCTTTTCATGGATTACTGCCTTCTCGTGGCAAAGGGGCTTGCGTAGCTCAATGAAGCTATGAGCTATGCCGGGCAGGCAGTGGTGGGATTCAACCAGTTCGCACCACTTCGGGAGAACCGGTTGTTAACTTTCTGAGCAGTTTGGTGAACTGGTTGTTGGAAGAAATCATTAGGGCAGAGAACCGGTTGTTAAATTATTATTATTATTATTTTTAAATTTGATTTATATGCCGCCCTTCTCCGGAGACTCAGGGCGGCTTACAGTGCGCTAAGCAATAGCCTTTATCCTTTTGTATATTTATACAAAGTCAGTTTATTGCTCCCACAAACTGGGTCCTCAATTTACCTACCTTAGAAAGGATGGAAGGCTGAGTCAACCTTGAGCCTGGCGAGATTCGAACCTGCAGTAATTGCAGGCAGCTGGTCTTAATAACAGGGTGCTTTAGACCACTGTACTATCAAGGCTCTGTAAATCTCTGAATCCCACCACTGCATGCAGGGCCACCCAAGTCGAACAGATCATAGCAGAGAGCTCTGACAAAACGTGATCCACTGGAAAAGGAAATGGCAACCCACTCCAGTATCTTTGCCATGGACAGTACCAAAAGGAAAGAAGAAGAAGGGGATGACAGAGAATGAGGTGGCTGGATGGAGTCACTGAAGCAGTAGGAGTGAGCTTAAATGGATTCCAGAGGATGGTAGAGGACAGGAAGGCCTGGAGGAACGTTGTCCATGGGGTCGCGATGGGTCAGACATGACTTTGCAACTAACAGCAACAACAATCTACATTGTTAGGTATTTCCGCTAATTTTTATTGGACCTTTATCAATTCATAAAGTGGTCTGAGAATTAAGAGTTGAGTTTAGAGAAAATGAAATGAGGTATGGAATGAAGATGTATTTGGCTGTATTTTAAAAGAGAGTGATAAGTGGTTAATTTTAATATACTTGCTGGGGATAAAGGGGCAAGTTTCTCTTTCTTATTCTCTTCTTTTCCCTTCTTATTGGGGGAAGCTCTGCACTTTTTAAACATTTTTGTCTTTCTTGTGCACTATTTGTTTTATCTGTTGAATATAAAAATTAACAAAATTGTTAAAAAAAGAAAGAGCAAATCTGTGCTGTAGGAAATATTTGGTTATTATAAGATGTCTAAAGACATCAGCTACAGAAATAAAACAGTGAAATCAATGCTGCAACCTGACAAAGTTCTTGAAATGTGGACATTTAGGAAAGCATGGAAAACCTAGATATTGTAAGGCCAAAGAAAGAGCATCCTTTAACATAAAATGAAAAACTGGATGCTCCCGTTCCTAATACATATGCAGATGTAATAATTTATAATGATATTATTTGGAATAGAGCTAAGAGAGGTGATGACGTTGACAGTGGCGGTATTCAGCCGGTTCGGATTGGTTCAGGAAAACCGATAGTGGCGACCTGCAGGTGGGCAACCCATTCGCCCCGGCCCTATGCCATCCTATTTAGCCACATTTTCTAAGCCACGTGCATGCGTGCAAGCTGCATGCACAAGCAAAGTGCATGTGCGGAAGACCACACGCATGCGCAGAAGGTATGCAAGCAAAGCAAGTGTGCAAGCGCACACTCACATTTTTGGTGCTGGGCGAACTGGTTGCTAAATTATGTGAAACCCACCACTGGACATTGAGTAAAACTACATTCTTAGATATAGTACATTCTCCAAGGAAGTGTTGTGGTCTGCCAGCAGCCTGCGGAGCTGGCAGCGGAGTCGGACAGTGATGAGGCTGAGGAAGAACATGGGCCAGTCCTGGAGGCTGGGGAAGGCCCAGATGAGGGCTCTGCATCAGAGGCAGAGATGGGGCCAGGGGCATCGGGGAGTTTGGTGCAGACTGATAGGAGTGAGGCAGAGGAACAGGAGGAGCCTGTTCCTAATGCACGCATGAGAAGAGCTTCTAGAAGGCAAGAGCAGCTTAAGCAAAGAGGACAACTTGGGAGTAGGGCCAAGAGATGATTGGCCCCTCCTATAAGGCTTAAAAGAGACCAGCAATGGCATTTGGGCTTTGCTGGAAAACAGAGTTGGTAGCTTTCTCTTCTTCTTCATCTACGTCTTGTATTTATTTTTGTATCTGTGACTTCTGAACGTTTGCCAAGAAAGGCCTTTAGCAGTTTGCCTAATTGGACAAGGTTTGAGATAAGATTGAGGAATTTGTGTGGGAGGAATTTGCTTTAATTTAGTTGAATGACACTGGGAATGAAGTAATTCTCAGCTGTTCGAATAAAGTTTGTTTGTTTTTTGCACTGGCTGATTTTCTTACTACTTACTTGGGCCTGGGTCACAACAGGAAGAATGAATTTCAATTAGGTTTAGGATCAGGGTGGCAGATACAATGAGTAGCCAGTAATTGGTTTGCTTAGGGTTTTACCTTCCACAGTTTTTGATCCAGATGTTCCAGTTTGGCTTTATGCCCTCTAGCTCTGTATTCCAGCATGGATGAATGGCAGTCGTGCAAAGCATATGCCATAACATGGATGGCATTGTAGATGCTGTAGCTGTGGCCAGTCATATCCATTTCAAACACAGATGTAGGAAGAGCTTCCAGTTTCTCCTTTCCAGTGCAGGGAATCTCATTTTCATCTTCATTCATAACAGAGATGGAGAAGGAACACTGAAAGGCACTTTCCCAGAAGAGCTTGATAAAACTATCGTCTTCTAAGTTTGGTTTCCTCATCTGAACAAATTGCTGGAATCCTAACACCTTCTCTGTGTGAATTGCAAAAGACAGAGCACCATGGAGGAAGACTAGGTCGCTATTCCTTAGAAAGGAAAGGGAGGTGAAATCCATCTCAGCTGTCATCACCCAGATTTTACTTTTTCTCCATAATGGTGCATCTTCAATTTTCAGATTGGTGGAAAGAAGTCTCAGAACGATAACACCATAAATTTCACCATGAACTAGTACTATGTTAGCGGTGCTTTTCATCACCACCATGTACATTTCAAGTCCCATATCTACCAACTCAACAATGCTGCTTGAGTCATCAATGATTGGAAATGTTTCAATGAAGTCTGAGCAGATCCCCTTCTGGGCTAACATGGGAACCAGATCTTGTATGAACTTCTCACCACTGTCATTTTTCAGAGACAAGATCCCAATCCATGTCCATCTGAAATGCAGCAGTAATAGAAAGATTCCTTTATACTGATGGTCCATACTTGGGAACATTTGCTGATATAAAACCGCCTCTTTTTTCATACTACTTTCAGTAGTGGAACCATACATAATCTTCAGAAAAAGAAAAATACTGGGAAATAGACAACAGGACATTTGTTTTTCTTTTCTTTTTCTTTAAAAATAATGTGTAGTGATAGCATTTACCTACTTAAGCTACAATATAGATTAAAAGGTAAAGGTTCCCCTCGCACGTATGTGCTAGTCATTCCCGACTTTAGGGGGTAGTGCTCATCTCCGTTTCAAAGCCGAAGAGCCAGTGCTGTCTGAAGACGTCTCCATGGTCATGTAGCTGGCATTACTAAACCTCAAAGGTGCATGGAACGCTGTTACCTTTCCACCAAGGTGATCGCTATTTTTCTGTTTGCATTTTTTACGTGCTTTCGAACTGCTAGATTGGCAGAAGCTGGGACAAGTAACGGGAGCTCACCCCATTATGCAGCACTAGGGATTCGAACCTCTGAACTGCCGATCTTTCGATCAACAAGCTCAGCATCTTAGCCACTGAGCCACCGCGTATATAGATATCAATGCCTAAAACATATTTTGACTAAGGTGTGATATTTCACATAAATATTTAGAGAATCCTACATGGAGATTTTTTTAAGTGAAAGGCTGAGTTGCATCAGCAAACTTGATCAAATTTGTTGCACCAAAATTTCCTAGCAGTTTGTATTTGTAAAATGATTAGATTATCCCTTAAAAAAACTTTTCCACTTTTTACAATTCTAAGAATAATCTAGACTGAGTCAAAATTTTTCAAGTTTCAATTTCCAGACATTAGGGGTGCTCAAAAGTTGTGACATGTCTTGGGGATAGTAAAGATATTTTGATTATTTTAATATAATTTAGATGTGCTTGGTAAGTAACCTACATAAATATCATAACTTTTTAACATGTTGTTTGTTTCATTTGAATACTCTATATTCTTAGTCAATTCTTAGAAAATTCTCTGTAGTTTTAGTCACATTGCTTAAGTGGAAAATTAATATTTGGGAAAGCATAACACAAACATTGATAATTTAAACCACAAAAGGTCTGGAAAGTTATGGCCACAAACCTGAGGACATTAGTACACTACAGCAGAATTCCCTTGTAGTCATCAGAAGCCATCAGTTTTAACAATAATCTTGTTATTTTGGGAAGAATCCCTTCTTTTCTATACCATAAACCAGCGGTTCTCAACCTGTGGTCTAGGATCCCTGGGGGGCTGTGATGTCACCTCGGGGAGGGGGGGTCCTGCCATGGCTGGAAGAAATGTTATGATTTAAATCTTGATGGTCCGTGGCCATATTCCATGGCCACAATAGATATTTAAAGGGGGTCCATGGTGAATAAAAGATTGAGAACCACAGTCAAAAAAGAAGGATAAAAGGGCATTGATGGCTATCTACTTGGTCTGGAGTCCATCAAAGCTCATACCTGTGGCATCTTGTAGAGAGACAGGATGGTAGCCATGTGTAGACATACCTCAGTGGTAGGTCCTCCAAGGACTGCTATTGGTCGATGCTGTGCATCACAGTTGTAATTAGGAATGAACTGGCTCTTTTTAGAGAAAAGTTCCAATGAGGCACGATATGTCCAACTGGTCATGAAGTAGGTATTATAGATCTGAAATCCAAAGGTGTGATTGGGTAAAAGATGAGGATTTCTGTTGATTTCTTTGATGGCAAATTCTAAGGCCAAGATGTGCTGGTAGATTGGAGTCATGACCCTAGAAAGGGAAATATATATGTATTTTTCACTATGCATTCAATTGAAATGAAAGCACATGACATACTTTTTTTTTTACAAGTGAATGGAATGAAAGCATTGCAATCATTTTGATTTTGATGACACTCTTCCAATAGTCATGCTCTCAGTGTACATAAAAAGGGAAGATACATTCATCAAGAATCATAAGGTACAACACTTAATGATAGTCATAGGGTACAAATAAGCAATCAAATCATACTAGGAAACAATCAATATAAATATAAATTGTAAGGATATAGCAACAAGTTACAGTCATGCAGTTATAAGTGGGAGAAGATGGGTGATAGGAACAATGAGAAGATTAATAGTAATAGTAATAGTAATGCAGATTAGTGAATAGTTTGACAGTGTTGTGGGAATTATTTGTTTAGCAGAGTGATGGCATTCAGGTAAAGACTGTTCTTGTGTCTAGTTGTTCTGGTGTGCAGTGCTCTATAGCATCATTTTGAGGGTAGAAGTTGAAACAATTTATGTCCAAGATGCGAGGGATCTGTAAATATTTTCACAGCCCTCTTTTTGACTCGTGCAGTATACAGTTCCTCAATGGAAGGCAGGTTGGTAGTAATTGTTTTTTCTGCAGTTCTAATTATCTTCTAAAGTCTGTGTCTGTCTTGTTGGGTTGCAGAACCAAACCAGACAGTTATAGAGGTGCAGATGACAGACCCAATAGTTCCTCTGTAGAACCGCATCAGCAGCTCCTTGGGCAGTTTGACCTGAGTTGGCACAGAAAGAACATTCTTTGTTGTGCTTTTTTGATGATGTTTTTGATGTTAGGTGTTCATTTTAGGTCTTGAGATATGATAGAACCTAGAAATTTGAAGGTCTCTACTGTTGATACTGTGTTGTCTAGTAACTTGGGTGTTTCTTTTTTTAAAAAAAAAATGGATTAATAGTAGCACTTTAGCATATTAATACTTATTAGCTGATAAGCCCAAAGTGGACCATCACTTCTTTCATTATGTCAGACAGGGTTAAGATGAGAAATCTCAGGAACATTTCTCTAAAGAACCTAACTCGGTCATGTCTAAAAAGTGAACATGAAAACTGTTGGAGAAGCTCTAAAGCAAGCATTTCCAACTTGCAGCCTACATGCAACCTTTGGCCCTGGATATCTAGTAATGAGGACCCACAAGATAATAATAAAAAAATATTAATATAATATGCTTCATTGTTTTCACATCATGGTGGGAAAATTTGAGAAACAAATGAAAGATTCCCCCCTCACACACCCCGCTTGTAGGATACAATCATCACATAGCAGTCTTGGATTATGGATGAGGTTTATGAAAAGGAAAAGGAGAGGAAGAGGATAATGGAAAAGGTGGAAGAGTGGGAGGATGGAGATAGGGCTAACCAGCAAAGAAAAGGTCAAGTCAATCACTGGAAGCATGGCTAATATGAACAGACTTCCTACGGTAGTTGAAATTAACATTTTCTGTGAGTAAAATCTTACACAGCGTCCTCAAAGAGCTCCTCAGAGGGACGTTTGCTGAAGTCTATCATTGTGTGGAAGACATAGATCTGAGACAGCATGTTCACAACAATGAGGTCTCCTGGCTGGTATCGCTTGTGAAGAAATGGCAGAGGGTCACTGATGTCACATTTAGCCCTACCAGTCCTGCACACCACTTGCGGTAAAGGCACAATCACCGATACTGCAAATATCACCATCTTTGACCACAGCATGTTTTTCTTATGTCAATTTCTGTGAATCAACATTCTCTTTCATGAAGTATAATTCTCTTTGAGTTAATCACTCCCCTCCCATTCCCTGTCCCCCATGGATTTAGAGATGAAGTTGAAATAATTACATTGGGGTTGTTAATTGCAGTAGAATAATGCCCAATTTTGGAAGCAAAATCCTGGGAAATCTTGAACAAGAAAACATGTTTTGACTATGTCAGTAGAGATCGCTTTTAGAAATTCTGCAGTGTGGGGGCAAGCAACGCAGATGTTTGTAATGACTGAGAGCATTAGAGATCCTAATTCTAATGATAACTTTCTAAACTTTTCCTTCATGTGTAGAAGGACAAGAAGAATGTTTAGGTCTCCTAAATCAGAGGTGTCAAACTCACATCATCACAGTGGTATCACGTGATGTATTGGGACTTTTTCCCCCCTTCGCTAAACTGAGCATCGGTGTGGCAGCGCATGACGCATCCGATCCGTGGGCCCGGAGTTCTACAGCCCTGTCCTAAATGCTTAAATAAATGGAACTTAATATTAATTCACAAAAGTGAACCAAAGTGAAGTTAAAGAGCTGCTTTTAACAACAACAAAAAAACTCTTTTGGAATTGCTTCAGTCCTTTCTGAGAATGATTCTCTGGGAATGTCTGGAATTAAACGGAAAGTGTGACAAAAAACATAGAAAATTGTGAAACAGATTTGAAAACAAGAATGCCTCCCCACTTAAGCACATTCTGTTTGGGGCCAAAAGTCCAATCAAAGTGTGCATCCAAAATTTTGAAAAGCATTTAGGTATCTGATTATTGCTCAATAGATGCAAGACTTCTGCAGGGTACAAATCAGAGGTTGGTTTCAGCAGGTTCTGACCAGTTTTGGAGAACCTCTAGTGGAAATTTTGAGTAGTTTGGAGAACCAGTAGTAAAAGTACTACTACTAGTACTTTACTAGTACTAGTAAAAGTACTAAAAGAACCAGTAGTAAATAGATGGCCCCTCCCCCATCTATTCTCTGTCTCCCAAATCCCAGCTGATCGGGAGGAAATGGGGATTTTGCAGTAACCTTCCCCTGGATTTGGAAGGAATGGAGATTTTACAGTATCCTTCCCCTGCCATGCCTACCAAGCCATGCCCACCAAGCCATGCCACGCCCACCAAGCCACATCCACAGAACCAGTAGTAAAAATTTTTGATACCCACCACTGGTACAAATATAGTATCCCAACCCATCATTGCTGGTTACGCAAGAGTTGGTAGCTCATTTCAACATTTTCTCTTGAGGGTCTTGTCCCCATGAAAATCGGCACCCCCTTCTCCTCCTCCTCTTCTTCCTCCTCTATATAGTGCTGCAAGTATTGCTGATTTCTTCTGAGCTTTCTTTTGAATGTGTATCCTCTAAGTCAGGGGTGGGCTGCTGCTGGTTGTAATAACTGGTTCGCCCGGAACCAAAAATGTGAGTGGCCTCCTGCACCATGGGGGTGGGGGTGGGGTGCGTTTTTGCCCTCCCCAGATTCTGGAGGCTTTCCTCAAGGAGAGTGAAAAAAAACCTCCCCCGGGCTCCAGAAACCCTCCGGAGGGCAGAAACCAGCCCGTTTCTGGAGTTCTGGAACTTCCGATATGCCCATTTTTCACCCTCCCAGAGCCTCCACGTGGGCCCTGCGCTTACCTGGCATCCAAAACAGGCGGTTTGGAGACTCCTGGGAGGGGAGAGGCAGGGTGGGCGGGGTCAGCCAGTCCTTGCAATTATCTGTTCGGCGAACCGGATTAAAATTAATATCCAGTTCTTCTGAATCCGTCTGAACTGGTTGAATCCCACCCCTGCATTCAAAGCATGTTACATGGAGATTGATTAGTTATAATTCCTAAATTGCATCAACAAACAAGGTCAAAGACATATTGTTGTATCAACATTTCCTAACAGTTGGTATTCCATGGAAATGGATCATAGAGAATTATTACTGCAACAATGCTTATAACATCTTTCTGCCTGGCTTCCCAATTTTATTGGCAACAAACAATACAAGAACTTCTCCTACACTTGCTATGACTATGAAATTCCGTTCAGATAAAACTCACTTCTTTATGTCTTTTGCCCCGGTTGCTGTCATGTTCTCTAACTCATTCTCTTCCAATTTATCCCACATTTCATTCTTTACCTTCAATAACATTTAGGGGAACTGGAACTGGTAAATTGGTACTTTGTTTTTCATAAAATACTTCTCCTGTTTTTATAGTTCTGAGAATATTCTATATTTTAAATTATCATTTCCCTTAAATATAGTTTTAACGGAGAATTAATCCTTGGGGAGGCATTGCACACTCACTGATCTTTTAGATGTTTCAAATGACATATCAGAAAAGTATTGGCCACAAGCCTCAGGCCATTGGTATACCAAAACAAAATCCTCTTGTTGTCCATAGAACATATCAATTTTATTAAGAATATTCTCTTTAATTCAATAAGATCACCTTCTTTCCTGTGCCATAAATGCACCCATTACAAGAAAAGGAAGATATCTACTTATTCTGTGTTCCATTACAGTTCCTACCTGAAGCATATTGTAGAGGGACAGGATCAGGGGTGAAATGCTCCCAGTTCAGACCGGATTGCCTGATCCGGTAGTGATGGTGGTGGGTGGTTTGGAGAACCGGTAGCAAAAATGCCTGCCCCCCCCCATGCCCAACTGAGCTATGCGATCATCAGAGCCTTTTTTTTTTTTTTTTTACTTTTAAAAGCATTTTTTCTTCGGCCAAAAAAATGCTTTTAAAAGTAAAAAAAAAAAAAAAGGCTCTGATGATCTCACAGCTCAGCTGGGATAGTCAGAGCCTTTTAAAAGCATTTTTTCTACAAGCTCTTTGGCCGAAGAGCTTATAGAAAAAAATGCTTTTAAAAGGAAAAAAAGCCTCTGCCAATCAGGCAAGTCAGCTGGGATCATCAGAGGCTTTAAAAAAAAAGCTTCTGCCGATCAGGCAAGTCAGCTGGGATTGTCAGAGACTTTTTTTTAAAAAAGAAAGCCTCTGCTGATTAGGCAAGTCAGCTGGGATCGTCAGAGGCTTAAAAAAAAAAAAGAAAGCCTCTGCTGGTCAGGCAAGTCAGCTGGGATCATCAGAGGCTTTAAAAGCATTTTTTTTACAATCTCTTTGGCCGAAGAAGTTATAGGAAAAATAATGCCTTAAAAAGCCTCTGACGATCCCAGCCGAGTTGCCTGATCGTTAGAGGCTTTTAAAAGCATTTTTTTCTGCAACCTCTTAAGGTTATAAAAAAAATGCTTTTAAAAGTTTTTTAAAAAATTGGCCACACCCGTCACATTACCCTCCCCCCACCACCACCACCACCAAGCCATGCCTACGGAACTGGAAGTAACAAATTTTACATTTCAGCACTGCTTCCAACAATATCATTTCTTCTGTAAGCAAATTTTCTTGCTGCAACATTCTCTTTCATTAAATATAATTCTACTTGAGCTAATGGCTCAACCATACCCGGGGATTTAGAGGTGAAGTTGAAGTAATTACATAGGGATTGATAATTATAATAGAAAAGTCCCCGGTTTCAGCCTGGGAAACTTTGAACAGGGAAACATGTCTTTGCCAACTTCGCTGAGAATTACTTTTAGCATCTCATAGTGTAATTGTAAAACATACAAATGTTTATGGTGACTGAAAGCAAGAGAAGAATTTTAACTGATGAGAGTTTCATAAAGTTTTGTAGAAGGAAGAAATAATGTTCATGTCTCCCAATGGTTAAGACAATTTACAGATTATATCATAGCCAACATAAAGAGAAAGGGCAGCAAATCCATTTTGGAAGCACTTAATCCCTTTTGAGAATGATTCTCTGTTCTCATTCGAGACAATGAATCTGCATACAGACAGGAGGTTGAACAACTAGCTTTGTGGTGCAACCAGAACAATCTTGAATGAAATACACTCAAAACTGTAGAAATGGTGGTAGATTTTAGGATAAACCCTCCTATACTACCACCTCTTACAATACTAGACAACACAGTATCAACAGTAGAGACCTTCAAATTTCTAGGTTCTATCATATCTCAAGATGTGAGAGATCCTCTTAAAATGGACACCCAACATCAAAAACATCATCAAAAAAGCACAACACAGAATGTTCTTTCGTGCCAACTCAGAAAGTTGTGATGCTGCTGATCCTGTTCTACAGAGGAACTATTCAGTCTGTGATCTGAACCTCTATAACTGTCTGGTTTGGCTCTGCAACCCAACAAGAGAGACACAGACTTCAAAGGATGATTAGTACTGCAGAAAAAACAATAACTACCAACCTGCCTTCCATTGAAGATCTATATACTGCACAAGTCAAAAAGAGGGCTGTGAAAATATCTACAGACCCCTCGCATCCTGGACATCAATTGTTTCAACTTCTACCCTCAAAACAACAGTATAGAGCACTGTACACCAAAACAACTAGATACAAGGACAGTTTTTCCCAAACACCATCACTCTGCTAAACAAATAATTTCCACAACACTGTCAAATTATCTTCTAAAACTGTATTACTATTATTTTTCTCTTCCTTCCTAGTAACTATCTCTTCCAAATTATGACTATAATCATGTTGCTTGTATCTTTACAATTTATATTTTATTTGTTTCCTAAAATAATTTGATTGCTTATTAGTAACCTATGACTATCACTAAGTGTTGTATCTTATGATTCCTGATGAATGTATCTTTTCTTTTATGTACATTGAGAGCATATGCACCAGAGACAGATTCCTTGTGTGTCCAATCACACTTGGCCAATAAAGAATTCTCTTCTCTTCTCTTCTCTTCTCTTCTCTTCTCTTCTCTTCTCTTCTCTTCTCTTCTATTCTATTCTATTCTATTCTATTCTATTCTATGCAACGAGATGGAATTGTTTAAGCGTGTGGAACATAACAGTGCAGGTAAAAAAATAAGCTGACTTTGTATAAAAAAAGAACACCGCTTGGGGGGGGCGAAAACCCTACTAAGCAGGTATATACAAAAGTATGAAGGCTATTGCTTAACGCATTGTAAGCCGCCCTGAGACTCCGGAGAAGGGGGGCATATAAATAAATAAATAAATAAATAAATAAATAAATAAATAAATAAATAAATAAATAAATAAACAAACAAACAAACAAACAAACAAACAAACAAATAAATAAATAAATAAATAAATAAATAAATAAATAAATAAATAAATGTGAGGAATTTGCATTGTGGTAGATATCCCTGAACATAAATAAACACTGGTCATATTTATTCGGTCACCCATCTCAGACTGTGGGTGCTGTGGAACTAAGGCTAAAAAAATAAATAAAGAATGATTATGATTAAAAACTTTTAAATTATACAAGGCAAAATAGTTTTAAAAAAGAAAGAAAAAAAAATAGGCGAAGAGTTAGGTGTTAATTACCCTGGAGCCATGTTGATACTTCTTTAGTTATCTCCTCAGGTGCCCAAACCTGAGGAGATAACTAAGTCCTGAGGGATTTCTGGAAAGCTAAAAAGGGCTGAGGACAGTCTCACTTTGGGGGTTCCCTTCCATACACCCAACTTAACTACTCCCCCCCCAACTCTCACCCCAAAGAGAGAATTATTACTCAATGGGAAACCCCACACAATCGGGCTTGTAAGGCAGAGATGTTCTCTTCTAGAATTGGCTGAGGGAACGGAAAAGGGACTTCCTGTCTGTAGTGCTCTGCTACTCTACAGCTACTTTGTCCCCTCCCCCTCCTCACACACCCTCGGCCCAGCCACCACCAACATTTCTAACTTTCCATAGTCCCCATAAGCCTCTCAAGTAAGAGGTTGCCAGAATGTAGCTATCAACGGTTCCTAGCAGCAGCTGACACTGATAAGAGTTAATAGCAGTGCTACCCTCCAAAGAAATTGTGAGATACAGGCAGCAGAAAAGCAGACGGCAGAGGCAGCAAGATAATAATAGAATAACAGAGATGGAAGGGATCTTGTAGTGCAACCCCCCCTCCTTTCCAAGCAGGAAACCCTATACCATTTTTGACAGATGGAAATCCGGTCTCTTTTTGAAAGCTTCCAGGGATGAAGCTCCCACAACTTTTGAAGCTGTTCCATTGGTGTATTGTTCCCACCGTCAGAAAATTTCTCCTTATTTTTAAGTTGAATCTCTCCTTGATCAGGTTTCCATCCATTGTCCAGACTTCAGGTGCTTTGGAAAATAGGTTGACTCTTAGCTCGGCCAGGTGTAAATAGAGCCCATCCACCGGCCCGCAGGTAAGAGAAGAGTGACACGCTCCCAGAAACCTAACCGGCCAGCCCAGAATTACAGAATTTACAACCGAAGCCGCCGGTTTCTCCTCCGATCCCTTCACCTGTCCGCTCCTTCAGCCGCTCGAGTCTAAGGGCGCGGTGAGCGCGCCAACCAAAGGCAGCAAAGGCAACCTGACTTCCCCAAGTCCTCCGGCTTTTTCCGTCCTATCCAGCCTGCGAGAGAAAAAGGCACCTGAACTCATCCTCCGGCTCGCTCCTCCGACCTCCAGGTGACAAGCGAGGCCGGTACCGGTGATAAACGCGCGGGGAGACGCGGCCGGCGAGGCTGTCAGCAACGGCTTCTCCGCGCGAGAGAAAGCAACTCACTTCTCCACAAAAGAGGAAATAACCGAGAAGGTCCGAGTCGGTCATCAGTCCTTGTAAGTGCCATAAAAATCCAATAAATTAACCATCCAACGGAGGGGATGATTCTGTTCTACTAGGAATCTTCAAGGTTTCCTCTCTCTCTCCCTCCTTTTCTCTCTCCCCCTCCCTTTCTCACTCCTTCTCTCTCTCTCTCCCTCTCCCTCTCTCTCTCTCTTTCCCTCTTCCTCCTTCTCTCTCTCTCTTTCTCTCTCTGAATTTTTTCCCCTCAGCTAAATCTACTTCACAGGGTTCTTGTGGGGAAAATGGAAAGACTACCGCATACATCGCCTTGAGCTGCTGAAAGAATGGCAGGATATAAATTTAATAAATGAATAAATTTAAACTCTCCCTCCCTCCCTCCCTCCCTCCCTCCTTCTTTCTTTCTCTCTCTCTTTCCATATCCCTCTCTCCCTCTCTTTCTCTCTTTTTCCCTCTCCCTCCTTTTCTCTCTCTCTCTCTATCTCTCTCTCTCTTTTCCTGAAATTTACAATCACAGTGCATTTTGAGTGATTGAACAATTCCCTAGAATGAATCATGTCAAAATTACCTTCTGATGTTACTCCCAGTCCAATCATTTTCTACAAGAGTCTATCATATTAAGAAGCAGTTATTGCTACTAAAAAAAAGGTATTAATAAGGGAAATTGAATTGTGGTAAAGGAGGACGTTTGATGCATTGGTGAGTCAATTAAATATGGCTTTATTATTTAGATAATATATTTCTTACTAAAATTAATTTATTGCCTTTTGTGCCCAGGTCAATTCTTTGGAATAATAGAATGTTTGCTGTTCAAAAATGTTTGTCTTCTACATGAACCTGAGAGTACATTTGGGGCCTCAAAATGGCTTTTCATGTACCTAAGGTTCAGTGATGGGATTCAAGAATTTTTACTACTGGTTCTGTGGGCATGGCTTTGTGGGCATGGCTTTGTGGGTGTGGCAGGCGAAGGATACTGTAAAATCTCCATTCCCTCCCCACACCAAGGGAAGGATACTGTAAAATCTCCATTCCCACCCCACTCCAGGGGAAGGATACTGTAAAACCTCCATTCCACCCACCCCCCACTCCAGGGGAAGGTTACTGCAAAATCCCCATTCCCACCCCACTCCAGGGGCAGGATACTGTAAAATCCCCATTTCCTCCCGATCAGCTGGGACTCAGGAGGCAGAGAATAGATGGGGGGTGAGGCCAGTCAGAGGTGGTATTTACCGGACTACTCAGAATTTCTTGTTCTCCAGAATTGGTCAGAACCTGCTGAATACCACCTCTGGTAAGGTTGATCTTTCAGTAAGTTTTGTCTCATGGTCACTGTTTCTTCTTCTTATACATTTTTTTATATAGGTAGAAATCAGAATGGAGGTTGAGAATCTCACCTCTATTAGGGAGTTCCTCTTGTTGGGCCTTTCTGCTCATCACAAAACCCAGATGATACTCTTTGCCACAATTCTCCTCATCTATTCTCTTACCCTTCTGGGGAATCTGGCAGTTATCATGTTGGTTCAGTTCAACTCCAACCTCCACACTCCCATGTACTTCTTTCTGAGCCATTTCTCCTTCCTGGAAATTTGTTACACCACTAGCACCGTGCCCCAAATGTTGGCTCACCTCCTGTCAGGTAATGGAACTATCTCCTTTATCCGTTGTGCAATCCAGGTGTATATAAGCACAACTTTCGGTGGCACGGAATGCTTTCTGCTGGCTGTCATGGCCTATGACCGCTACTTGGCCATCTGTCATCCCTTGAACTATGCTGTAATTATGGACAAGAGGCACCAATGGGTGCTAACCACAGTTTCCTGGGCAATTTGTTTCCTAATTGCAGCTATCAATATTGCTTTGACTTTTCAGCACACTTTCTGTGGCTCCAACCACATCAATCACTTTTTCTGCGAGCTGCCCTTAGTAGTCAAGCTCGCCTGTGGAAACACCAAGGTAACAGAAATGATTCTGTTTTGGACATCGGTCCTGGTTATCCTTGGTCCCCTTGTAGTTGTCTTGACCTCCTACGCACTTATCCTGCTCATGGTGTTCCAGATGAAGTCAAAGGCTAGTTGGCACAAGGCTTTCTCCACATGTGCCTCCCATTTGGCAGTGGTCACTTTATTCTATGGCACCCTCATCTCTATGTACCTGAAACAAAAGTCTGGGTCAGCTTCCAATCGTAACAAACAAATTGCTGTCTTTTATACTGTGGTCACTCCCTTAATCAACCCTATCATTTACACCCTGCGGAACAAGGATATCCACAAGGCGGTGGCCAAAATTCTAAAACGGAGGCCCTGAAGGCAAAATAAAACAAGAAGAGAGAGTCCCTTAATGACTTTAACTGATCCAATTCAATCATCTTTTTAACTGGGTGTTCTTCAGACGATTCAAACTTCAACTCCCAGAAACTCTCAACAAAGGTGAGATTTCTCCAACTGGGGTGTCCATGCCCTTCACAGAAGGATACATATTCTCTATCTGTGGTCTTCTTGGATTGGATCATTCTGAACACAGGTTGTACTGGCTTCTACCTTAATACGTCATAGTCCTCTAGGTAACTGGAGAATCTAGGTATAATATTTGTAATGATAATGTTTGATGTCCTTGTTCATACAACACGCTTAATAGTGTTTCTCATTGTGCTGGATCTGGTGGCTTGTGGTTGTGGAAGCAGAGTCATAGGAACTGGATCAATCGATATTAAGGATTTTGGAATCTCCTACTGCTTTCTGGTAGCTGGGATCCTATTAGTCTAGGGGTGGGCTTCAAAAAATTTAGCAAGGGGTTCTCTGCCCAGTTGCTGGGTGGGCGTGACCATGGTGGGCATGGTCTAGTTGGCCTCCTGCATCACGATGGAATGGGAGCATTTTTGCCCTCCCTGGGCTCCAGAGGCTTTTCTCGAGCCTCCGGGAGGCGAAAATGGCCTCCCCAGGTTATGGAGGCCCACTTGCCGAACTTCTGGTAGGCCCGTTTTTTGCCCTCCCTGAGCTTCCGTGTGTGCCCTGCACTTACCTGCATCTAAAACAGGCCGCGTGGGGACTCCTGGGAGGGGCAGGGTGGGCAGGGACAGCCAGGAATGGGATTGGGGGTTCTCCGGAATGCACAGAATTTTAGATAGAGATTTTCCCGAACCCCTGCGAATCCCCAGCAGCCCACCCTTTTATTAGCCCTTATATGAACAGGAATTCATGGACTCTTCTCTAATGAGCAAGCAGTAAGTGTGAGTGAGCCACACTTATGGAGGGTTTAGAAAGTGTGCCGTGTGCTGTGAAGTCTTAGCTGTGAGCTTTGTAATGACTGAATTGCTTTTCCAGGTGCTCCTTTTCTTCTAGAAGACTAGGTAGTAAAAAAAAAATATTCACATGGATTCTTTCATAGATTCAGAACTGATTATGTAAAACAGTTTTAATGCAATGCATGACTCACGGTTCTGAGTTAAGTTCACTAACTGGTTTAAATATCCCATTTTTCATGTTCTCACAACACTCTACCATTCCATTGATCTGACTAATCACCCTGTAAAACAGAGCTCTAATACAATGCATTTTAAAAATTGTGTAGTGCAGTATATTGTTTTAAATTAAGTTCAAAAATAGACCTACCATATCAACTTGCAGATAAGCCCAAAATTCTAGGGGCCAAAATCACCCCAAAAATTCATTTACCCACAGATGGGATTATCCATGAGAACATGTGCTGATACTTATATTTACTGATAAAAAATATTTATATTTCCCATGTGTACTTGCATATAAAAAGGGATGCGGTGGCTCAGTGGCTAAGATGCTGAGCTTGTCGATCAAAAGGTTGGCAGTTCGGCGGTTTGAACCCCTAGTGCTGCATAATGGGGTGAGCTCCCGTTACTTGTCCCAGCTTCTGCCAACCTAGCAGTTTGAAAGCACATAAAAAATGCAAGTAGAAAAATAGGGACCACCTTTGGTGGGAAGGTAACAGCATTCCATGTGCCTTTGGCGTTTAGTCATGCCGGCCACATGACCACGGAGACGTCTTTGGACAGCGTTGGCTCTTTGACTTTGAAATGGAGATGAACATCACCCCTTAGAGTCGGGCATGACTAGCATATATGTGCGAGTGGAACCTTTACCTTTACATAAGATAAGGAGACCTTCGAATTTTGAATCAAAATATCATAAAAAAATGAGCCATGGTATCTGTAGATGGCCCATTTTTCTATTTAAAACATTAGAGGGTCTTGGTTATCCATAACTGGATTTATACAATGGTGTGTATGGTTTTTCTCACATGAGAGCACATGGTGAAATGGCTGATTCCTTAGGAGAAATACTAATCTTTCCAGATTTTCATTATTTTAAATTTTAAAAAAAAAATGTTTTTAGTGACTATGCCATAATTCAATCTTGTGGAATGTAATACTCAATGCTTGAAGATAGCTAAATTGTGCATTAGACAAATTTTGACAAACTTTAATAAATTTTATTAAATATTTTTAAAAATGGTGTAGGAGACTTCAAAGCAAAACCAAGCAGCAACCAAGCCATAATTTAAATATTGCAACACCTGCTTTTCCCAATATAGAAAAACGATTAAATCTCTTTTTTAAAAATTCTTTTATAGCTTTTTAAAAATAATGGCAAATATTGGAATACAAAACAACATTGGAAAAAATAAAAATACTTTGGTAATATACCTTGCGAAAAGTAAAAAAAAAAAACACACGGAGAAAGTTCTTTTAAAAAGTGAAAAAAATACAAAGGAAAAAGAAAAAAGGTGTACCACTTTAGCAGTAAATAGTTAAAATTCCATTAGACAATATCGTTATCTAATGCAATTATTATTCAAGTACATATACATATATAAAATTGATTTATCTAATTATAATTTTAACTTACTGTATTTTGTTTAAACAAGCCACTCATTTCATCATATTTGTCTATATAAATTCTACATCTATAGGTAGACCACTTATATATGGCAAGTGCAGTCATGTCTTCAACCCATTGAGTGAAGAGCCATATATTTATCTTACCAATGCTATAAAGTCAGTTATTTGGCTATAATAAGGATGCAGAAAATCCATTTTTATTGCCCGGTTGTCAAATTCCAAATATAAGATATGTAATTCAAAAGAATATTATTGTCTGAAAATTTTTAATTTTTTTTCTCACACAATTATATTTATGTAATCTAGTACTTTCTCCCAAAACTTGGTAAGTGCAAGACAGTATAAAAACATGTGTTTTACAGAACCATTATCCTTACTATATCTCCAACAAAATGTTGTTTTTGAAAAACCTTTTATATACATACATAACAGAGTGCAATAAATTCTAAATAATATATTTTTGATCTATAAATCATAATAGGAGGTCCAGTGACATTCTTGCTACAGTTTCCCATTGTCTACACAATATAAAAATATCAAATTATTTATTCCATTAATTTTTTAGGACAGTGATGGCTAACCTTTTTGCCATCATGTACCAGGAGTGGGGGTCGCGCCCATACATGCCTACACCCATAATTCTATCCACCCCGCCAGCGTGCATGCACGCACAACCTTCCCATGCTCCCCCTGCTCCTGGCAGGCGATGGCATGGTAGGCCCATTTTTTGCTCTCCCCAGCCTTCAGAACCTTTCTAGGATTCTGGGGAGGGCGAAAATGGCCTTCCCCACCCCCCTGGAGGCCGGAAAGGGCCCGTTTGCCAACTTCCGGTGGGACCGGAAGGCCTGTTTTTTGCTCTCCTCAGGCTACAGAGCCTTTTTAGGAGTCTGGGGAGGGTGAAAATGGCCTCCCCCCCCCCGAAGGCCCTCCAGAGGCAGAAACATCCTGCTTCCCTACTTCTGGTGGGCCCAGAAGGCCTGAAAATCAGCTGGCTGGCACGCATGTGCTCACATGCCCACCGATATGGCTATGCGTGCCACTTGTGGCACACGTGCTATAGGTTCACCATAATGGTCTTAGGATCTTAACATCATATTGAATTATTGATAACAAATACCTTTAAAAATGAAGAATGGTTTTGTTTTAATGTAAAGGATTTAACAAGTTGTTGTAGTATCTCAAGTGTCTCAAAGCTAAAAAATACTGCTTGTCCAATGTTATTAACAAATAACGTAACTGTAAATGTAACCATTTGGTTACATAAGGTAGATAATTTTTGTCTCTTAACAGAGACTATGTTAAAAATGTCATTATCCTTTATCGGTTGGTCCAAATTTAGTAGCCCTCTTTCGATCCAATTCTTCTATATCACACCATCTTTTTAATCTCTCTTGAAAAAAAAACCCTCCATATTCTAATCTCCACGTGATTTTGAAAGGACCTCAGAACTGGCATCAGGTCTGTGTGCCTGGAGACAAGGTATCACCACTAAGAAGACCCTGTTTTTGGGCTACCATTTCTTTAATCTGAGTGTGTGATGACTTGGTGAAAAGACTGGAACAGCCCAAAAGTTTCACACGGTAGAAAAAGTCTTTTCAGGTTTGGTTTAGAACAAGGGTGGGCTTCAAAAATTTTAGCAAGGGGTTCTCTGCCCGGTTGCTGGGTGGGCGTAGCCATGGTGGGCGTGGCCTAGTTGGCTTCCTGCACCATGGTGGTGGTGGAGGGGTTGCCCTCCCCAGGCTACAGAGGCCCTCTGGAGGCCTGGTTTTCCCCATCCCTGAGGTTCCACATGTACCCTGCACTTATCTGCACCCAAAGCAGGCCACATAGGGACTCCTGGGAGGGGTGGGGCGGGGCCAGCCAGGAGTGGGATTTGGGGGTTCTCTGAACTGCATGGAATCTTAGCTAAAGGTTCTCCCAAACCCCTGCGAACACCCAGAGCCCACTCCTGATTTACAACTACCCAAAGAGAGGATGGTAAGGAAGCATGATACTTAATTTTTTTTTTGTTTTCACATACAATATCCAAGTGGATGGAGTTAGTTTGATTGTGTCCACCATCCTTAAAATGTTCAAAATGGGGGAGAGTGGTCAGGGGAAGTCCGATATAATGTTTTTTTTTTTAAAAAAATATTCCGTCTAGATTAGTCCTAAAGGAAGGCAGATTCCAATATGGCTTCCATCTGAAAAGTTCTAAGTAACAATATATAGCCTTTGCTTTTGAATTGCTCAGTGCTCTCTCAGGTTGTTTCTCCCAAAGGTTCTGGTTTAAATGTCTATGGAGATTCTCAATTATCCAGGTCATGGTTGTCCCAAAGGTGCTTTTTTCAAGAGGCAACTGGAGTTGGAAAAGCTTCTTCGATGAGAAGTGAAATGTCTTCAAAGAAAAACCAGAAAGTCCAGTTGCCTCATGAAAAAAAAAAAAAAAAACACCTTTGGGTTTATTGTGAGCGGCCAGCAGATCTGGCAGCAGATTGGGACAGTTAGGAGGAACATGGGCCAGTTCTGGAGTCTGGGGAAGACTCTGACAAGTGCTCTGCATCAGAGGCAGAGATGGGGCCAGGACCATTTGACAGTTGTCAGCTGCCTTCAGAGTCGGACATCAGTGGGGCAGAAGAACAGCTGGAGCCTGTTCCCAGTATACACATGCGAAGAGCTGCCAGGAGAAGGGAACAGCTAAGGAACAAGGGTCGACTTGGGAGTAAAGCCAGAGGTGGATGATGAATGGCCACTCCCAGAGGAAATAAAGAGGAGCAAAAGGGGAGGGGAGTTTTCAGGAGACAATTATTCAATTCACTAGAGAGAAGATCTGTTCCTGACTTCTTGCCAAGTAATTGCTGCTACAGAGTGGCGTTTTGAAGATATCGGCCTGGCAGCTCTCCAAGCCTGATAAAGATCTGTAATTGTGAAATCTCTTGAAAGACTGTTGGCTGGGACTTTGCTGGAGAGAAATTCCCTTTAAACTAAATAAAAGGGGTTTTATCAGGACGAGGAGTCGGCTTTGTGCTTTTGGGAAGCCTAGGTCAGAACAGGGAAGCCTAGGTCACTCAGATTTGTAGCCACATCTGCCACGGGATCCCTGCAGCCACATAGCTTCTCTCCTTCTACGATCTCCTGTCTCTCATCCAAACTGTTATTTGTAGAGGCTGAGGGAAGGGCTGTGGTAGAAGCACATGTAAGCATCGCAGAGCAAGCGACGGGCATAAGAGGGCAAAGATTTGGGATCCAAGCCTTGCAGAGCTGCAGTGGGCATTTCCAAGTAATCTGCTACCTCTGAACAGGGCGTGACACGAGGGATGTTAAAGCCATTCAATCCACCTTTGGGAAAAGGAAAAAAAAAAAAGGACAGGCTTAAGGATTGAGGGTATGCATGGAAAGAAGCAGAAGAGGAAAATAAATAAACTTACTTTTGGAATTCCAACCTTTGATCAGTGAGATTTTGGCACTGAGAAACACTTTCAATAAACAATAGCATCTCTGAAGATGTCTCCCATCACTATTTTTTTTTCCTGAAATTTGGAAGATTTTTTTCCCCCCCAGGCCAAGCAAAAATTCCCATTGAGTCCCCTATGTTTGCTTATAAGACCATTATAAGATATTTATCCAAGCATCTGATTTAGATTTCAGGCAGCTGATAACATGGCTTCTGTTCATCTGAACTGTATGTTTTAAATTCTCAAAAGTAAGAGGAAAATAACGATTTTTTTAAGCCAGGGGTGGGCTTCAAAAATTTTAGCAAGGGGTTCTCTGCCTGGTTGCTGGGTAGGCGTGGCCATGGTGGGTGTGGCCAACTCGGCCTCCTGCACCACAGTGGGGGAGGTGGTTTTTGCCCTCCTTGGGCTCTGGAGGCTTTCCTTGAGCCTCTAGGAGGGCAAAAACAGCCTCCCCAAGTGCCAGAGGCCCCTCTGGAGGCTAGAAACGGGCCCATTTTTGGCCTCCCTGAACTTCTGGTAGGCCTGTTTTTCACCTTCCCTGAGCCTCCATGTGCGCCCTGCACTTACTTGCATCCAAAACGGGCCGCATGGGGACTCCTGGGAGGGGCAGGTCAGGGTGGGCAGGGCCAGCCAGGAGTGGGATTTGGGGATTCTCTGAACTGCACAGAATCTTAGCTAGAGGTTCTCCCGAACACCTGCGAACTCACAGCAGCCCACGCCTGCTTTCAGCTAAGCTTGATGCCTGGTATGGAAGTAGCTTGCCATTGCCACTTTCTGATTAATTAATCCATTATTTATTGATTATTTTTTAAGGCTAACCCAGTGTTTCTCAACGTTGGCAGTCTAAAGTTCACACCTCTTCATATGGTCAGTGATGAAAAGCATTGGTCCAACCAAAAGCCATGGGATTTTCTAGAGGTTCCCATCCAAGTATGAACCAGGTCTGACCAGATTTAGCTTTTCAAGATCAGCCAGGGTTAATTAGGGGCTAACACCTGTTATGGCTCATTTTTAGTTACTCATTTTAAGTTACTATACATACAATTTAACTATGCCCAGATTATTAAAGCTTCCATTTACTTTTTAAATCCCATTTGTGTGCAAATAACCTTGCCTATAAGCAATAATGGTAGAGGGTGTGAGAATGATTCAACCAAACTGCAAACTGAACTGTTGATTAATTTGTGGAATGAGATACAGGTATGTCTTCTACTTACAACAGTTCATTTAGTGACCATTTGAAGTTACAATGGCACTGAAAAAAGTGACTTATGGCCATTTTTCATGCTTATGGCCACTGGAACATCTCCATGATTTACATTCAGATGCTTGACAGGATGACTCACATTTATGACCGTTACAGGCTCCTGGGGGTCATTGCGATCCCTTTTTACAACCTTCGGACAAGCAAAGTCAGTCGGGGAGTTTAACAACCATGTTACTAATTTAAGAACGCAGTGATTCACTTAACACATGTGGTGAGAGAAGTTGTAAAATGGTCAGACCTTATTTCTCACTTAGCGACATAAATTTGGGGGTCAATTGTGGTCGTAAATTGAGGACTTCCTGTAGTTTCCAATTCCAAACATGGTCAATTTGGACAACGTTTAATACTTCAACCCATGTGCAAAGCAGGGCAGTGGTTTTTTTTTCATTAATCCCTTCAAATAATCCAAATCAAACTAATCTGAGGATTCAGTTTCGACATTCAGACAGAGGGAGAGTTCCAAGTCAATTCACTACTGGAATCTAACCAATTCACCAGATTTGTCCAATTGTACAAGCTAAACAGCATTTTTTTTGTCGTTTAATGATCCCGTAATTCCTTGCAGGGTGGAGTCTGGGCAACTGAGTGTTTACTGGCCAGATGCCCTTCCTGTTGCCAATGCGGAATTTTGCAGCAGATATATTCTCATTGGGCCCAGAGAGAGAAATATCAGTCTCTACCTAGGATCGAACTCACAGCCTCCTGATTGTGAGGCGAGAGCTCCACAATTAGGCCACCGTACCACTCCACAAGCTAAACATAGCATTGATAAAAGCAAATCTTGGTTTACTTTGGAAAACAACTTTTGAAGCAACTCACCCTCACGGTCAGCCATACTGTCAAAGAAAAGCCACTGGTGGACATCTGGGCCATGGCGGGTAAAGCCCACATAATGACTTGTTTCAATGCAGAGAACTGCGAAGAGCTGCATTGTCTGGCGGGGGATGGTCTCTGGCAAAGAGCCAAAGTGAGAAAGCTCCTCAGGAAGATGCAGTGGACGGGGCTGATGGTACCGTCGGGCCCGGTGCTTGTGAACCTGTAGAGTAGTGGCCAAAGAACACCAAGAAATCTTAAGCAAATCTGCCTTGAGTCTTTCCAGTTGGGCAACCATATTGTTCTGATCCAGCTCCCCAAACATGACAAACCCTCTGAAGTTAACTCAAAGATTCATTTATTAGGAGTGCCGGCAGACCCGGCAAAAAGTTTTTCTCTCAACGCAGGCTAACAAGTCCGTCCGTCCGGAAGATGAATAGTTGTCTGCCACAACTATTCATCTCTGCCCCCTGAATTTTATCCCCAGAGCTAGAGTGGGGCTTTGTTAGTAGCAGTGGCTCTTCCTTCTCAAGGATCTTCCTTCCAAGGGGGAAGAGGGAATGGAGGTGTCAGAGAGAGAGAGAGAGAGAGAGAGAGAGACGGAGCCTGGGCCATCCATCAGTCCTCAGATGGGCCACAGTCAACAGCCCCAAAGTCTGGAGGAGGCTGATGAGGAAGAGCAAGAACAGCTGGTTCCAGTGGCATCCAGCATTGATGCACAGAAGGCAGAGGAGAGGAGAACAGTGGAAATCTATGGGCTGGTCCTTGGGACAGAAGAGCCACCACTGCTAGCAAAGCCCCACCTTAGCTCTGAGGATAAAAGGCAGGGGGCAGAGATGAATAGGTGTGGCAGACAACTATTCGTCTCCCTGCCGGACAGACTTGTTAGCCTGCTGTGTGTCTGTGAGAGAGACTTTTTGCCGGGGCTACTGGTGCTACTAATAAAGGAAACATTTATTTAACCACAGAAGGCTTGTTCTGTTTGGCAGCCGGGTCAGAACATAGGTATTCTGTTCAATGAGTTCTCAGATATTAGAAGAAGAGAATTATTGTTGTAATCTGCCAGCTGGCAGTGGAGTCAGATAGTGAGGAGGCTGGGGAGGAACATGGGCCAGCCCTGGAGTCTGGGGAAGGCTCAGATGAGGGCTCTGCGTCAGAGGCAGAGATGGGGCCAGGGCCATCTGGGAGTTATGTGCGGACTCTGGAACCTCCAGAGTTGGACATCAGAGAGGCAGATGAACAGGAGCCTGTTCCTAGTGCACGCATGTGCAGAGCTGCCAGAAGGCATGAACAGTTAAAACAAAAGGGATGACTCGGGAGTAAGGCCTGGAGATGATTGGCCCCTCCCATAAGGCTTAAAAGAGGAGCAAAGGCACGTGGGCCCTTTGCAGGAAAGTAACATTGTTAATTCTGTTCCCAGTTGGCATCTCTGTTTGATTCTGGACTCCGTGTGGCTTTGCCAAGTAGGTCTTTGACAGCATGTCAAGGGAGATAAAGGTTGGTGATTATCCCGAAGGACTTCTCCCAAAGGACTTTTTGCAACTAATTGGGACTCAGCTGTGAATGAAAGTAATTCACAGCTGTTGCAATAAAAGAGGTTTTTGGGACTACTCGTGTGTTTTAATGACTCAGGAAGCCGAGGTCACAACAATTATATCCCTCCTCACTCACCTTTTTAAAGACTATATATAACCAGAATAAGCCAAGTAGAGTAAGCCCATGGCATGATAGGCAGCAAATAAGTTTAACAAATAAATTAATACAAAAAATAAGGCAAGGCAAGCACAGGAATCTTATTTAACATGATTTTGGTGTATTGGGCTCAAACCTTGAATTGCTAATTTTAGTAGATGCAACTGACACCAGAAAGGGCAGTTTTGACAATGATACTCATGGTTTTGCCCTCACAAGAGCTTCAGAAGAATTATATATGTCAAATTATATATGTCATAAGAGCCTTGGTACTACAGTGGTTTAAAGCACCCTGTTATTAACACAGCTGCCTGCAATTTACTGCTGGTTCGAATCTCTCCAAGGCTCAAGGTTGACTCAGCCTTCCATCCTTTCTAAGGTAGGTTAAATGAGGACCCAGTTTGTGGGGGCAATAAGCTGACTTTGTATAAATATACAAAAAAGTATGAAGGCTATTGCTTAACGCACTGTAAGCCGCCCTGAGTCTCCGGAGAAGGGCGGCATATAAATCAAATTAAAAAAAAAAAAAGACATTCCAATTTTTCTGCATCAAGTAGGGGAGGATCTTAAGTAGAAAAACTTTGAGCCATCCTTTGGCTAAATATTCTTTGTCAGACAAACCTAGCTTAAGGGAGTATCCTGGGTTGGAAAGCTGGCACAAAGATACCTGCTGATTGCAAATCTTGCAGAACTGTTTGATGTGTCGCATGCCAAAACTAGGGTCCCGGTAGCAATCTGGACACTCCATCACAGCCAGTCCTTGGCATACAGAACACTCTCGGGGAGCTGCAGTGGTAAAGTCAGAAACATTGGAGTATGTTAGAAGTTAAAAGCAACACATTGGCACTGGATTATGAGAAATGACATTCAGTACAAAGAGGAAGGCATTCAGCACAAACATGTTTTTTCCCTCTCCAGGCCTAGAAAACTGGGGGAAAAAAATCAGTTGGTGACTCGAAACTTATCAACAGACAAAAGGAACATAGCAGGAATAGCAGTAGCAATAGCACTTAGATTTTTCAGAGTATAAGACGCACCTTTTTCCCCCCTAAAAGAGGCTGAAAATTTGGGTGTGTCTTATACTCCGAATGTAGCTTTTTCGAAGCTTTTTTTCAGCCTAACGCGTTAGCGAGTGAAGCAATCTTCCCAGTTTTGCCTGCTCCCTCTGCTGTGCTTTAACGAGGTGCTAGCGAATGAAGCGATCTCCATGCTTTGCTCCAACTCTCAGCTGATCTTTAGAAGCTTTTTTTCAGTCCTAACTAGGCACTAGCGAAGTGAAACGATCTCCCCTCCCCCCTGCTTTGCCTGCTTTTCTCATTGCTGCTTCCTCTCAGCTGTGCCTTAGAAGCTGTTTTTTATCCCAAGCAGGGGATAAAAAACCAACAAATTAATGTGCTGAAGCTGACCAGACTAAGGACGCTAGCCAGATGAATACCTGGTAGGCAATGTTTTTTCCCTATTTTCCTCCCCAAAAAGTAAGCTGCGTCTTATACTCCGGTGCATCTTATACTCTGAAAAATACGGGTATATATCGCTTCACAGTGCTTTACAGCCCTCTGTAAGCGGCTTACAGAGTCAACATATTGCCCCCAACAATTTGGGTCCTTATTTTACCGACCTCGAAAGGATGGAAGGCTGGAAACCTTGAATGGAGTTAATTTATGGACCTCCATTATTCCAAGACGTAGTGAAGGCCACAGGTTTTGGCAGATATTAAAGAAGGCAAACTAGCAAATTGTGAAGGACGAAAACTCAATGAAAGAGAGGAAGCTCAAAGGTTTTCAAAGGGAATGTCCAACTTCTCCACAACTCCTTACTTGTTTGGTCATTAGGTTTACAATCCAGGGGTGCTATTCAGCAGGTTCTGACAGGTTCTGGAGAACCAGTAGCAGAAATTTTGAATAGTTTGGAGAACTGGCAAATACCACCTCTGGCTGGCCCCAGGGTGGGGTGGGAATGGAGATTTTGCAATATCCTTCCCCTGGAGTGGGAATGGGGATTTTGCAGTATCCTTCCCCTGGAATGGGGTGGGAATGGAGGCTTTGCAGTATCCTTTCCCCAGGAGTGGGGTGGGAATGGAGATTTTGCAATATCCTTCTACAGGAGTGGGGTGGGAATGGGGATTTTGCAGTATCCTTCCCCTGGAGTGAGATGGGAATGGAGATTTTGCAGTATCCTTCCTCTGGAGTGGGGTAGGAATGGAGACTTTGCAGTATCTTTTCCCTGCCACACCCAACAAGCCATGCCCGGTAGTAAAAAAAATTGAATTCCATCATTACAATCCACATTTCTTTTAGGATCTCAAGGTAGCATGCATAGCATCCCTTCTTTCTTTTCTTCCCACAACCACCATACTCACTAGATTAAGCTAATAAAGCATGATTGACCCAAAGTAACCCAAAGAATTTCCATAGTTAAGGACATTTCAGCTTGGGTTTTTCTGGCCCTTGTCCGTCATTTTAACCATTACACCACTATATCAAACCAACTGCTATGAGTAAATAGTAAAGGAAGGGAGTTACTTCAGTTTGAAAGTTTCCACAAACTATCTACGGCATAGTAGACAAAACCATTAAGGAAGATAACCTTCACAGAGATATACAGTAACCTTTACCTAGGCAAAAGACGTTAAAGCCCAGAACTAGAAGATAAGATACGGAAATGCCTCAGGCAAACACCTCCCTATTTTACTGAACTATTACAAGGAGGAGGAGATAACGCACAATCATATGTCCAAGATTCTATTATTATTATTATCATAGCCAATCTCAATACACAGTAATTTTAGCTTTCCTGTGATTTCCTGGTCTTGTCTATCTCGCGGGGTTGACATAAAGAAATAGGAAGCTAAACTGCACCAGTTTTCCCCCTTAACTTTGTTCTAGATCACGGGTGTCAAACTCGCGGTATCACGTTGCCGTCACGTGACATTTCATGACGTTTTTTCTCATTTGTGGAGCACGCCCACCCCAGGGATGGGTTTCAAAGCCAGTCGCTACCGGTTCGCTTGCTCGCGCAACACTTCTGCGCATATGCAGAAGTGTCTGGGCAGGTGGGCGGAGCCTCCCGCCGCCGCTACCGGTTTGCCCAATCTGGGGTGAACTGGTAGCAACCCACCACTGGCCCGCGTGTGATGCATACAGCCCACAGGCCGCCAGTTTGACACCCCTGTTCTAGATTCTCAGATGATGTATATGACACATTAGGATTGAAGCCCTATGACAGAGATATGTGTTTTTCTCTCTCATCCCTTACTTTCTTCCAGAAGATCTGTGAGGTCAAGTTCCAGGCTGGGTTGGATGGTTCGAAAGGCTTTGAAGTTCTTCCCATTCCGAGGCATCTGAAGGATAAGGCATGAAGGGGCCTGCCAAGAAGAACGGAAGCAATCCGGATGAGATTGGGAGGAAGAATAGATGAGGACTACTGATGGGGCCTCCATTTTTGGACACACAACTCAAAAAAAAAGACACAGATCTCAGGTTTTTCAAATCTTTTTCAGGAAACCATGGAAAAGTACAGGTAGTCCTTGACTTACAACTGTTTGCTTGGTGACCATTCAAAGTTACAATGGCACTGAAAAAAGTGAGTGTCCCAAAGGTGCTTTTTCAAGAGACAACAGGACTTTCCACTTTTTAAATTTATTTAATAACTTTATTTAATTTAATAATTTTATTGTCATTGTACGTATATTACACAGTATAACTATGCAACGAAATTCACTTAACACCCAAAGACCAGGCCCAACACACATAACAATCCCCAAACACACTCCTACCCACCACAAATTCCCCACCCCTAAACCACCCAAACATCCACACAACAGACCAAGTAATGCTGTCCAACAGCTCACTGATGGTGGCCCTTAAGTTCATTGTTGAGTGCAATTATAGCTCTGGGATAAAAGCTACTCAGAAAACGTGTGGTCCGAGTTTTAATTGTTCTGTATCTTCTGCCAGAAGGCAACAGTCCAAAAAGACTGTAAGCAGGATGGGAAGAGTCCCTGAGAATGTTATGCAACTTCCTCAAACAGCCAGATGCGAAGATGTTGTCCAGGGCTTGTAGCTGGAGCCCGATGATATTCTGGGCAGTTTTAATGATTCTCTGTAGAGCTTTTTTGTCCGCTACAGAGCTGCTCCCATACCATGCAAGAATGCCGAATGTCAGGACACTCTCAATGGTGCTGCGATAGTAGGACAGAAGTAGATGCTGAGATAGATTTATCTTCTTGAGCATTCTCAGGAAGTACAGCCTCTTCTGTGCCTTCTTCACAAGCATGTTAGCATTCATAGTCCATGAGAGGTCCTTCGAGATATAAATGCCCAGAAATTTAAAACTACCAACTTTTGACAGTGTTTTGCTTCCCATCCAAGAAGCTTCTTCAGCTCTTCTGAAGCGTCTTTGGAGTTAAAGACACTTCTTGGATGAGAAGCAAAATGTCTTCAAAGAAAAACAAGAAAGTCCATTTGCCTCTTGGAAAAGCACCTTTGGGACACCCATGACTTGGATGACTGAGAATCTCCATTGACATTTGACTTATGAGTGTTTTTCACACACTTAAGGCCATTGCAACATCCCCAAAGTTCAGATTCTTGGCAACTAACTCAGATTTTTGATGGTTGCAGTGTCCCTGGGTCATGTGATCCACTTTTGTGACCTTCTGACAAGCAAAGTCAATGGGGAAACCAGATTCATTTAGCAACCGTGTCACCAATTTAACAACTGTAGTGATTCACTGAATACCTTTGGCATGAAAGGTCCTAAAATGTTGCAAAATTCACTTAGCAAATGTCTCGCTTAGCATGAGAAATTTTGAACTTAATTGTGGTTGTAAGTTGAGAACTAACCTGTACTCCATACAGTAACTGCCTTGGACAAGATTACTCAAGGCAGTCCGGCTTTAAAAATTAATTTGAGTTAGTTAAGATTTGTTCTCTCCGCAGTGATAAATGTGCTGATAATTTTATATCCCAAGATATAACCATGGATTTTTAAAAAAACAATCTGTGTTACTGTATTTTTCAGATTATAAAATGCACCGGCATATAAGACACATCTTAGTTTTTGGGGAGGAAAATAAGAAAAAAGCTGATTGGCGGGTGGATCGGCCTCCGGGAATACTCCCAATCAGCTGTTCCCAGAGGTGAATTTTAGCAACAGGTTCGTTGGTTGTGAGTTCTGTGCCTTGCTTTTTTTCCAGCCTCTTAAACCTGTTTCAGAGGCTTTTTCTCTGAAGCTCCGTTTCGGAGGCTGGGTGTGGCTACATTCAGAGTATAAGGCGCACCCAGATTTTCACCCTCTTTTTTTGGGTAAAGGTATGTTTTATACTCCAAAAATATTTCTTCACATTGTGTTTCTTGGATGAAAGGAGAAAAAAAGCACAATTGCAATTAAAATATAATTTAAAGAATTGGGGATGGCCAGATGAGAAATTACAATTGATTCCATTTTATTTACAGCTACAGTTAACTAAAATAGGACTATATTACTTATATGTATATAGTACAACATAATTTTTAAATTACTTTTTTTTTTTAAAAAAAATCCCTTTTATGTGTTCCAAAAAGGGTCATTCCTTAGCATTTATTTATTTATTTATTTATTTATTATATTTACAATAGCCATAGGCACTTAGACGTATATATCACTTCACAGCCCTCTCTAAGCGGTTCACAGAGTCAGCCTCTTGCCCCCAACAATTTCGGTCCTCATTTTACCGACCTCGGAAGGATGGAAGACTGAGTCAATCTTGAGCCAGTCAGTGAGCAGTGAGTTAGCCTGCAATACTGTAACAGTGACAGTAACAGAGTTGGAAGGGACCTTGGAGGTCATCTAGTCCAACCCCCTGCTAACACAGGGGACCTGTACTAGGGATTTGAACTGCCGAACTGCCGACCTTTCTGATCGACAAGCTCAGTGTCTTAGCCACTGAGCCACCTAGTCAGGCTAGTCAGTACTGCATTCAAACCACTGAGCCACCACAACTCTTTGGGAATGAACCAAACCATTTAGTGACTACATGGAGACTTGTTGAAACCTTATCCTGGCTGCTTGGCCCAAAACAGGAACATCTAATATAGTAGTCTTCGACGTACAATCGTAATGGAGCCCAAATTTCTATTGCTAAGTCAGACAGCGGTTAAGTGAATTTTGTCCCATTTTACAACCTTTCTTGTCCCAGTTGGTAAGTGAATCACTGCAAATTGTTAAGCTGGTAACACGGTTGTTAAGTGAATCTGGCTTCCCCATTGACGTTGCGTGTCGGAAGGTCACAAAAGGTGATCATGTGACCTCGGGACACTGCAACCATCCTAGATATCAATCAGTTGCCAAGCAACCAAATTTTGATCATGTGACCACGGGGATGCTACAATGGTCATAAGTGCGGAAAATGGTCGTAAGTTACTTTTTCCAGTGAAGTAACTTTGAATGGTCACTAAACAAACTGTTGTAAGTTGAGGACTACCTGTAGTCAGGATGGTGGCTACAATAATGGAACTAAATTGCTCTGATTGCACAACCACCATCTTGTCGATGTATCTGACCTTAGATCAGGTGTGTCAAACTCAAGTCCAGGAGCCGGAGCCAGCCCACAGGGTGGTTAGATCTGGCCTATGGGGCCACCCTGGAAACAGTGAAGGATTGGCCCATGGTGTCTCTGCCAGTGAAAACAGAGCTCGGGAGGGCCGCAAGCAGCCCTCTCAAGCTCCGTTTTCACTGGCAGACAGTTATAGGAGGCTGTTGCAGCTGAAAACGGAGCTCGGGAGCCCGTGCTTGGGTCACCACAGGCGCCCCCGACATGAGTGATGTCAAGCTGGCCATGCCCACTCTGCCCCTGAGGCCAAACACAACCCTGATGCGGCCCTTAATGAAATAGAGTTTGACATCCCTGCCTTAGATCAACCTTCTGTACTCTGTGGTCCTTCAAATGTGATACAAGTTGTCTTGCTGAAAACAATATCTGAGGGGATAGGAAGCTCACATCTGCCTATCTTCCTCGTTCTGCATCTCACCTCTGTGAATTTGAGATCCCCGATCACCAGTGATCCCTCCAGAAGCTCTTGAACCGTTGGGACCACATGCGTTGCATGGTCCTCAGTAAATATCTGGTAGAATATACAGCCATGAGGGTCCTGGCCAGCAGAGCTGGGTTCAAATGGGAGAAAAAGAGAATTAGATTAAGGGGATATTAGTTGGTCTGGAATAAACTGGGAGAAAATGTGTAAATGTAGGAAAATAATGTAAGCAACATGGATTATTTCCTACCATGGATTATTTTATTAAAGTTTCTATCCCTCAGGGTTGCAAAACCATTCTGAGGAGTACAGAGATACTGCCTAGCAAAACACAACAATCAAAACAATCAATACTGGAAGTTTTTAAGATGTTAGATAACCATTTGTCTGAAGTAGTATAGGGTTTCCTATCTAAGCAGGGGGTTGGACTAGAAGACCTCCAAGGTCCCTTCCAACTCTGTTATTCTATTCTATTCTATTCTATTCTATTCTATTCTATTCTATTCTATTCTATTCTATTCTTCCCTTCCCTTCCCTTCCCTTCCCTTCCCTTTTTTTTTTTTAATTTGATTTATATGCCGCCCTTCTCCGGAGACTCAGGGCGGCTTACAATGCGTTAAGCAATAGCCTTCATTCTTTTGTATATTTTATACAAAGTCAGCTTATTGCCCCCACAAACTGGGTCCTCATTTCACCTACCTTAGAAAGGATGGAAGGCTGAGTCAACCTTGAGCCTTGGAGAGATTCGAACCAGCAGAAATTGCAGGCAGCTGTGTTAATGACAGGGTGCACTAAACCACTGTACTATCAAGGCCCTTCCCTTCCCTTCCATTCCATTCCATGGCCAAATAGAAATTTAGGGGTGGTTTGTGGTCACAGTAAGTTCATTGCTCTCTATATAACTAAAAAATGTTATATATTATTATCCTGTACCTATTCCAGCTAATCAAGGAATATATATACAAATATCTGTGACTCCCTATTTTAACTTACCTTGGTGTAAAATGGCATGAATATTCAGCAGAGTCACATACATTTTATTTCCAAAATGCCCCATTTTGAGTTTGAAACGGATGAAATGGGGCTGCTCTGTTAATTCCGAATAATTGAAACCACCTCATTTTGAATACAAAACAGACCTCTTTTGCCGCCGAACTAAACATTTTTGGGCCCCAAATGGAGCATCTTGAATCTGCGGCAAGTCTGAATTTGAAGTGTTCTGCACACCACAAATATACAGCATGGGACTACAAAATAAAAAGCATCCTTCATCCTTCTCACCGGATCTGAAAGAGGGGCTCCATCTTTAGCACTCGGAACAGCAGGGTGAGGAACTCTTCTGGATCTGTCGAGAGAAAGAAGGCAAAAATGGAGAGGCAATCTTTTCCTGACGACCACCACCCTAGTATGCCCAGTTCAGACAAACCTGCCTTCCCTTGAGCAAAGAAAGGAAAAGTAGAATAGAAATAAAGTAATAAAGGTAAAAGTAAAGGTAAAGGTTGCCCTCGCACATATGTGCTAGTTGTTCCTGACTCTAGGGGGCGGTGCTCATCTCCGGCTCTTCGGCTTTGAAACGGAAAGTCTCCGTTTCAAAGCCGAAGAGCCAGAGCTGTCCGAAGACATCTCCGTGGTCATGTGGCCGGCATAACTAAATGCCAAAGACGCACGGAACGCTGTTACCTTCCCATCAAAGGTGGTCCCTATTTTTCTACTTGCATTTTTTAATGTGCTTTCGAACTGCTAGGTTGGCAGAAGCTGGGACAAGTAACGGGAGCTAACTCCATTACGCGGCACTAGGGATTCGAACCGCTGAACAGCCGACCTTCTGATCGACAACCTCAGCGTCTTAGCCACTAAGCCACCGCGTCCCTCTAAAGAAAGTAATACCCCCTTCCCAATGATTCCTCATTTTTCCTTTGAAGCTCAATAACAGTGGGAACCATCTCAGGTAGCAAGAAGATTTCTTCCTATTGCTGAATTGCCCCAACTTTCAGAAGATCATTGAATGATGATAGATAGATGGAAAGAGGTGTACCCTACTGATGTTCAAGAGAGGATCCCAGAGATGTGTTTGTTATCAGTTTATGACAGGACATAATATTCCACAAAATGAAAAGATATGTCTATATGGTTCTGTATAGTCCAGAATTAATAATATGCTAGAGGACTGGACTACTTTTACACTAACATTATTCAGATCTCTCTCCCCTCCTCCCCTTTCCTTCCTTCCCCTTCCCTTCCCCATCTTTCACAATTGCCAAAATGGCTCCTTCACCTTACTATTCAACCCATCCCCTCACACACACATTCAGATGTGCACAGGCCCAAACCTTTTTCTTCACTGGTGAAGCCAGAGGAGTGCCCAGCTGTTTCCAGAACTTTCCGCAAGGCCATGATTTTGGTAGCACACACGTAGCCATTCCTATCAGGTGAAAAGAAACAACAACACATACACAGACAAAGTCAGATTACAGATTAAAAGATTGGAAGGACCTTGCAGGTCATCTAGCCCAGGCAGGAGACTCTACACCATTTCTGACAAATGGTAGTCCAATCCCTTCTTGAAAGTCTCAAGTGATGAAGCTCCCAGAACTTCCGAAGGCAACTTCTGTTCCATTGGTTGATTGCTCTCACTATCTGAAAGTTTCTCCTTATTTCCAGGTTGAATCTCTTCTTGTTCAGTTTCCATCCATCATTTCTTGTCTGGCCTTCAGGTGCTTTAGAAAATAGCTTCACCCCTTCCTCTCTGTGGCAACCCCTCAAGTATTGGAACACTGCTATCATGTCTCCCCTGGTCCTTCTCTTCACTAGACTAGCCATGTCCAGTTTCTGTAACTATTCTTCATATGTCTTTGTCTCCAGTCCCCTAATCATCTTGGTTGCTCTCTTCTGCACTTTTTCTAGAGTCTCAACATCTTTTTTATAGTGTGGTGACCAAAACTGGATGCAGTACTCCAGGTGAGGTCTTACTAAGGCTTTATAGAGTGGTATTAGTACCTCAAACAAAAGTCACACAAAAGTCACACAAAAGTCACCAGTTTGCTTTTTTCCAGGGATGGCAAGAGATTGATAGGCAAGAAGGAATTGTCAGTCTTTCCATAAAATACATGCATGAGTGGTCCCTCACTTATGGTCATAATGGAGCCACCTCCATGATGGGATTAAATCATGACACCGTTTAAAACAGGGCACCCATGTGAGGGACCCAGTTTCATGATCTCTTTTGCATGATCATTAAGCAAATGCCAGGGTCGTTAAGTGAACAATTTATCCGGTTTTGCTAAAAAGAAATCAGAAATAAATGCTAGTTTTCAGCAAAAAAACCCTTAAAATGCAGTCATGCGATCACAGGATGCTGCAAATAGAGGTAAATATGATGAGCATCTGATAGGTGGTCATGTGATGGCAGGGAGGGTGAACAGCTATCAGAACTTTGGAATTGAGTTGTAAGTACCTCCAGGGAGGTCTGTTGCAACTTCTAATGGTTGCTAAGCAAGGGTTGTAAGTTGAGAACTACCTGTACAAATTAGTGGTGGATCTCATGTTTGGCTAAACTACAATGGCTTGGTTTTGATTTGTCTACCCCTATGGGTTTGCAAAGCATACTGAAACTTGATTTGGAGATAAAACTAAGCCAGAGAAAACAAACTGGCAGGACTAGCCAATACCCTAGATGATATGCTCAAGATCCAGATGGATCTTGACAGAATTGAAGTTGCATAACATTCTCAGAGACTTTTCCCATCCTGCTTACAATCTTTTTGGACTGTTGCCTTCTGGCAGAAGATACAGAACAATTAAACTCGGACCACACATTTTCTGAATATTTTTTATCCCAGAGCTATAATTGCACTCAACAATGAACTAAAGGGCCACCATCAGTGAGCTGTTGGACAGCATTACTTGGTTTGTTGTGTGGATGTTTGGGTGGTTTAGGGGTGGGGAATTTGTGGTGGGTGGGAGTGTATTTGGAGATTGTTATGTGCGTTCGACCTGGTCTTTGGGTGTTAAGTGAATTTTGTTGTATGGGTATACTGTGTATACACATACAATGACAATAAAGTTATTATTATTATCTAACAAAATGAAATTCAATTTAGGGAAAAGTAAAGTCTTACACTTAGGCAAGAAAAACCAAAAGTATACATACAGACTGGGTGAAACCAGACTTAATAGCAGTAACTGTGTGAGGGAACTTGGAGTCTTAGTGGACAACCAATTAAATATGAGCCAACAGTGTGCAGCGGCAGCCAAAAAAGCCAATGCAATCCTAAATTGCATTAACAGAATGATAGAATCAAAATCAAGTGAGGTAATAATACTATTCTATAAATCCTTAGTAAGACTACACCTAGAGTACTGCTTCCAGTTTTGGTCACCACACAATAAAAAAAGATGTTGAGACTCTAGAAAGAATGCGAGAAGAGCAATGAAGATGATTAGGGGACTGGAGATTAAAACATACGATGAATGATTGCAGGAACTGGGCATGTCGGGTCTAGTGAAGAGAAGGACCAGGGGAGACATGATAGCAGTCTTCTAATATTTGAAGGGCTGCCCCAGAGAGGAGGGGGTCAAGCTATTTTCTAAAACACCTGAAAGCCAGACAAGGAATAATGGATGGAAACTGAACAAGGAGGGATTCAACCTGGAAACAAGGAGAAATTTTCTGACAGTGAGAGAAATCCACCAATGGAACAGAAGTTGCTTTCAGAAGTTGTGAGAGCTTCATCATTGGAAGCTTCCAAGAAGAGACTGGACTGCCATCTGTCAGAAATGATGTGGCCTACTTGGGCAGAGGGTTGGACTAGATGACCTACCAGGTCCCTTCCAACTCTGTTAATCTGTACCTGTACCTGTATCTAAATCATATTATGGGATAATGAAGCACAATATTCCAGTCAATGAAAAGAGCCCAAGTGTCTCATAACCCCCAACTAGAGGATTCAGTTCTTCACACAGGCCTTTATTTCTGAAATCTATCAGCCTTGTGAATGTTCCTGTGATTCACCAATTAAAAGCCTGGTGGATCAATGAGCCAAAACCACCTCCTGGAAAATCCCCCAGATTAATTGTCCTAATTATAAGGAAATCTTTCCTTGGTTCTAGGTTGCTTCTCTCCTTGACTAGTTTCCATCCATTGCTTCTCATCCTGCCTTCAGGTGCTTTGGAGAACAGGCTGACCCCCTCTTCTTCTTTATGGCAGCCCCTTAGATACTGGAACACTGCTACCTTGTCACCCCTAGTCCTGCTTTTTATTAAATACACAACTGTGTGTTCTGGCTTGCCCAATTATCAAAATTTGTGAAAGGATCCTCCAAAACCTTTTCTTCACTGATGAAGCCCAACGAGAGCGCAAATGTTTCCAAAACATTTCACGAGGCCACAATTACTAATAACAATAGCTACTAGGTATTGTTATGTGCTGGACTTTCAGAATTTACAAGTCTATTTCAGGGAGAATGAGAGACAGACTCAGGATGACTCACCCACTTGGGAAACTACCCTGTCTTGTACTAACCCACCACTGCATTCTCACATCACACAAAAAATGTTTGGCAATCTTAGAAGTTCACAGCTGTTCTTTGGCTTGCTGAATATATATAAATCAAAGAGAGCTGTTGTGGCCCACCAGCAGAGCTGATGGCAGACTCAGACAGTGAGGAGGTTGGAGAGTCCTGGAGCCTGGGGAAGGCTCTGATGAAGGCTCTGCATCAGAGGCAGAGAGGGGGCCAGGGCCATCCAACACTTATCAGCTGCCTTCGGAGTTGGATATCAATGGGGCAGAAGAACAGCTGGAGCCTGTTCCTGATGTGTGCATGCGCAGAACTGCCAGGAGAAAGGAACAGCTAAGGAACAAGGGCCGATTTGGGAGTAAAGCCACAGGTGGACGGTGAATGGCCCCTCCCATAGGGAGTAAAGAGGAGCAAAGGGGAGGGGAGTTTACAGGAGACAATTAGTTCAATTCACTAGAGTGAAGATCTGTTCCCGACTTCTTGTCAAGTAATTGCTGCTACAGCGTGGTGTTTGGAAGTTATCGGCCTGGCAGCTCTCCAAGCCTGATAAAGGTCTGTAATTGTGAAATCTCATGAAAGACTGTTTGCCGGGACTTTGCCGGAGAGTAATTTCTCTTTAACCTAAATAAAAGAGGTTTTATTGGGATGAGGAGTCTCCTTCATGATCTTGGGAGGCCTAGGTCAGAACAAGAGCGACTGGGGCTTTTTTCAGATGATAAACCCAAACTCACTTGCGCAAAGGGTTGACAATCTCCGTTCTTAAGAGATCTCGTGTCTCGGTGTAAGATTCCCCATCGTTCTTGTCTGCTGGGCGTAGAAGCATAGAATCCAACACGGAAGTAAAAGAGAACATGCTGTAAGCAGAAGAGAAAAATGGGATCTTCAGAGGTTTTCCCCCAGTTTTAAAGAGCAGCGGAAGGTCTAGTGCAGAGGTGTCAAACTCAAGGCCCGCAGGCTGGATCTGGCCCGTGATGTGGTTGGATCTGGCCCGTGGGGCTGTTCTGGAAAATGTAAGGGGCCGGCCTGTGTTGCTACCCAATACGAAGAGGAAACATACCAGCAGTTTGGGGAGTGGCATCAAGCTGGCCACGCCCACCCAGTCAGCCACTCCCAGTGAGAGGTATCAAACTGACCACACCCAGCCCGTTGGCCACACCCACCCAATCGATCACACCCACCCGGCCCCCCGAGGTCAACCACAGCTCTGATGCGGCCCTCAATGAAATTGAGTTTGACACCCCTGGTCTAGTGGTTACAAACCTGGATAAGGGAAACTGGGGAAAGGAAAAATTGGATAATACAGGTAGGCTTCAACTTATGACCACAACTGAGCACAACATTTTTGTTGAGACTGCATTCATATGGTTATACATATTAGTAGGGGAAATCTTGTCTAAATAAGACTCCTAATTGTTCATACTAGACTGATTGACTGGACTACTTACTTAGTCACCCACAGCGACTCTGTGGAGAGAGCTCCACAGTCATGTTACATTGGTCAGCAGGAGGCACCTCGCAGAAGTTATGTAAAGCCCTGAACACTGGAACTTGACATAATGCAACATGTGTATCTTTGTGCTCTGAGACCTTAAGGGAAGGTGGACAGCATACACCCATGATGGCGCAGAGCCCTCTCTGTGGACACACTAGCCTTCCCCCCAGCTCAGCTCCACTGCACATATGTATGCGCCTCCTGCCGGCCAGCTGATTTTCGGGTCTCTGCAGTGCATGCGCTGGGGACGGGGCGTATGTGGGAGAGGCACATGCATATGCACGGGGGTCACGCGTGCATGCATGGGGGGTGGGGGAGCGTGGGGTATGCGGCGCGTCCCCCCCCGCGGTCTGTTTTTGGTCCCAGAAGGTTGCAGGGAGGCCTGCTAGGCCCAAAATGGGGTGCACGGAGGTGCAGCAGCACACAACCCCGTATCCTGTTTTTGGTCCCAGGAGGCTGCACGGAAGCCAGCTAGGCCCAAAACGGGGCATGGAGGGTGCGGTGGGCCCCCCACAGCCACTTTTTGGTCCCAGGAGACTGCAAAGAGGCTAGGCCCAAAAGGGGCATGGAGGGTGTGTCAGATTCCCCCCACGGCCTGTTTTTGTTCCCAGGAGGCTGCAGGGAGGCCTGCTTGGCCCAAAACGTGCACATACGCAGGGGTGTGGGGAAACTCGGGGGTTCATGCACACATGCACAGGGGGAAGCATTGGGGGAGTTGTGCGCACAAGTGCAGGGGGGGGCATCATGTGCATATTGCATTATGGGTGCCAGCACACAACAACAAAAAGGTTAGCCATCACTGGCATACACCATTTTGATAGCCACCATGGTCAAGTGAAAACTTGAACTTGAGCTTCCCTCATCCAAATCCAAGACCTTAATCACCACACACAATCATGGCTGTCCATATTATTTATCCTTAATCCCATTCTTGTATGAAAAGAAACACCGATCTGCCAATGTTTTCTCCAATTCCCAAGTATTGGTAGGCCTTCTCAGATTCAACTAATTGTAGGTCACAGACATTTCAGGCCCAAAGAGGAAATCAAAACAGGGTCTTGCCAGTTTCAAACAATACACCAGCCTTACCAGAACAAAGTAGCATCGAGGTAGCAAGAGTTGCAATGACCTTGGATCCCCTTCTTCCATCCCGAGAGAAGTTCCAATCCTTGATTGCCCAATGGTGGTGGTGGAGTATCTTCTTCCACCTTGGCACTGGCATAGACCCGAAAGTCTAGGAGAAAAGAACAAAGGATGGAACTAACAGCCATGCCAACACTCTTCTTGCATGATTGCTCCTTCATCCTTTCTAGAAACAAATTCCCAAGATTCCCCATCAGGGCTAACATAGGCTAAAAGAGGATTCCTGTAAGTCCTCTCCCATCTCTCCATTATGATAAAATTGACAGCCCTACACTGGGAATAGTGGGCGAAATAATCAGGGGGGTCAGAGAACTTCTCTCTCCAACACAGATGTATACCATGTTTCCCCAAAAATAAGATCCTGTCCTATATTTTTTGAACCCCAAAATAAGCGCTTGGCCTTATTTTTGGGGAGGGCTGATTACCGTTTCCCCAAAAATAAGACATCCCCTGATACTAAGCCCAATTGTGCTTTTGAGCACATGCGCTAAAATAAGCCCCCCTGAAAATAAGCCCTCCCCAAAAATAAGCCCTCCCTGAAAATATTTAATGGCACCCTGCCATTTCCTCTAGTTAGAGTTAGGGAGACAGAACTGGAAATCAGGTAAGACAGCAAGAGGTCCTTGCCCCAAAATAATAAGACCTCCCTGAAAATAAGGCCAAGTGCTTATTTTGGGGTTAAAAAAAATATAAGACAGGGTCTTATTTTTGGGGAAACACGGTATTTTGGGGCACGTGGAACAAGACGGGGCTCCTCTTGCCATCTTATCTGATTTCCAGCTCTGTCTCCCTAACCCTAACCAGAGGAAATGGCGGGGACCAACTGAGCATGCATTTAAATATTTTTGGGTAGGGCTTATTTTAGTGCATGCAATTGAACATTTTATCAGGGGATGTCTTATTTTCGGGGAAATACAGTAATAGAGTCTGGATGTTCATCTAAAGCACAATTCAGTACTGGAAACAATCAGATGGGACTTTCCACTTAAAAATAGATCAAAAGTGAAACCAATCAACCAACCAAAAGATCTGTATTAAAATATAAGCAAATAATTATTTCAGTTATTTATTTATTTATTTATTTATTTATTTATTTATTAGATTTCTATACCGCCCTACTCCCGAAGGACTCAGGGCGGTGCACAGCCAAACAATAAAAACACATACAATACAAAATTTAAAAAATAGAATAAAATCAAATTAAATAATTTTGGCCCCGACAAATTTAAAACCCCAAACTTTTAAAACCAATTTAAAATTGAATATATAAATACTAAAAAATATTTAAAATTTTAAAAATCTTTTATAAAAGAGGGGGAAAATTAGGCCAGGCCGGCCTGGTGAAATAGTAAGGTCTTTAAGGCGCGGCGGAAGGTGCGCAGATCCGGGATCCTCCGTATCTCTGGGGGGAGCTCGTTCCAGATAGTAGGTGCCCCCACAGAGAAGGCTCTCCCCCTGGGGGCCGCCAGTCGGCATTGTTTGGCTGACGGCACCCGGAGGAGCCCCTCTCTATGGGAGCGTACCGGCCGGTGGGAGGCTATTGGTGGTAGTAGGCGGTCCCGCAAGTACCCGGGTCCTAAGCCATGGAGCGCTTTAAAGGTGGTAACCAAAACCTTGAAGCGCACCCGGAAGACCACCGGGAGCCAGTGCAGCTCGCGCAGGAGAGGTGTTACATGGGAACGCCATGTCGCTCCCATTACCACCCGCGCGGCCGCACTCTGCGCCAGTTGGAGCCTCCGGGTGCTCCTCAAGGGGAGCCCCATGTAGAGAGCGTTGCAATAGTCCAGGCGGGAGGTGACAAGGGCATGAGTGACCGTGCGTAAAGAGTCCCGATCCAGAAAGGGACGCAACTGGCGAATCAGGCGAACCTGATGAAAAATCCTCCCGGTCACGGCCGTCAAGTGCTCTTCTAAAGACAGCCGTGAGTCCAGGAGGACGCCCAAGTTGCGAGCCCTCTCCGTGGGGGCCAATGATTCGCCCCCAATAGTCAGTGATGGCGTCAACTGACTATATCGGGACGTCGGAAACCACAGCCACTCAGTCTTGGATGGGTTGAGCCTGAGCCTGTTCCTCCCCATCCAGATCCGTACGGCCTCCAGGCACCGGGACATCACTTCAAGGGCATCGTTTTAGTTTTTAGTTTTTAGTTTTTCCCTATACACTTCCATTTACCAGATCATTCACTTCAATGGAGGAAAAAAAGAAAGAGGGAGGAGATGAGGATTCAATGAGATGAGGTCCTGTACCACAATCCCTGAGGGAGACGCAATGTAATAACTTAATTCTCCAGTTTATGCTCACTCCCCTATATGACCTACTGCGTTTCTCCAAAAAGACAACCCACCTTGAAAAGAAGCCCTATCACATTTTTGAGCGCATGCAGTCAAATTAAGCCCCACCCACAAAATTAGCCCTAATTAAGACTCCGCCCACCCCGGGATGCAGGGGGTGGAGTGAGGCACACAGGTAAAAAATAATAAGCTAGGATGGGGATGGGGGGGTGGAGCTACCCTACTTAACAGGCCTCACACACCTTGACAACTGCCTCATCTTCTTCTGCAGCCACTTCTTCTGTGGCCGCTTGCCACCACTCGCACGCATTGTCTCAGCCTCCATTTCATCTTCAGATGCCTGTCGGAAGGCCTCTGCAGCCGATAACAGAGCTCTGGTATCGACTGCCGATGCCTTCCAGCAGGCATCTGAAAGTGAAATGGAGGCCGGGGCGATGGGTGCAAGTGGCGGCAAGTGGCTGCAGAAGAAGTGGGTCAGCAGAGGGGTCCTGCTGGGTGAGCTGTCAGTGCCACCACCACGAGGTGAGTCAATAATTAGAACCCTCCAAAAAGAAGGCCAAAAGCCAGGTGAAGACCTGGCTTTTCCGGCAGGCCTGGGGCCATTGATCTTGCTACAGCGATCTTGCGAGACCCGGCCATGGAATGGAGTGTATGGGTTTTTAATGTTTTCTTTTAAAAATTTTTTATAGGATATTGTTCACATTTTTTTTGCTGTAAGCCGTCCAGAGTCCCTAGGGAGTTGGGCGGCATAGAAATGCGACTAATAAATAAATATTTTTTTTTTTTCGGGGGTCAAAAGAAAATAAGATCCGGACTTCTTTTTGGAGAAACATGGTAGTTTGAGAGTTACTGATTAACCCAAAGTTTAATCAGTAGTTCCAGAGGAGAATTGATAACACTTGGGAAGTTGCTACAATTCTACATCTTACAGTCCTAGCCAATCCATCCAATAGCTATGGATGGTGGATGCTTTAGTCCAGGAGTCATCAAACTTGTTAACTTTAAGACTTGTGGTTCAAGCCACGGTGGCTGCAGAATTCTAGGGGTTAAAGTCCACAAGTTTCCAAGTTTGGAGACCACTGCTTTAGTCAAATGATTTCTGCAAGACCCCTTTGTTGCTTACTGAGGATAAGAAGAAACTAGTCAATTTCCAATCTTCAGCCTGCTTTGCTTTCAATCTCTCTAAACCAATGTTCCCAAGCTTGGCAACTTTAAGACCTATGGACTTCAACTCCCAGAATCCCATACCCCAGCATATGGGCTGGGGAATTCTGAGCATTGAAATCTATATATCTTACTTATCTAAAAGTTGTTGTGGCTCCGTTAACGGAGCCTGTGTCATTGTCAGGAGACAACTCCGAGAGTGAAGGGGAGGAGTTGGCAAGGCCTCCCTCTCCAGGACCCTCCTCTCTGGCAATGCCTTCGGTGTCCACCAAAGGGCAAGAGATAGGGTCAGGGCCAAGCACGTCCACGCAGCCACAGATGCACAGTGATGAGGGTAATGAGTTTTGGCTGGACCCACGCCAGCGTCGCAGAGATAAGCGCACGCAACAGAAGAAAGGGCGTGCCCGAGATTAGGCTGAGTCACTGGACCACACCCCACAGGATATAAAAGGGAGCATGGTGGCCAATCAAACCTTGTGACGAACAAAGCTGAAAGCTTCCACGCCATTCTGCATTGCCGGACTTTTGCTTTAAGACTGGATTATCTCTGGCCTTGATTGTAATTATTGAGCTGCTTTCCTTTGATGTATCAGAAGTGGGGAGAAGTTATCTCTCCTCTTTGTAAATAATAAACTCTTGGCAGGCAGCCACTAGGTTGTTGCCAAATTCCGTTATCATAAGGAAAAGGATTTTGCTGGCTGGTTTGGTCTTTAATTCCTGAACGTCTGTTGGTGTGTGTGCGTGGGGTTGGGGAGAGAACAAAAGTTTGAGAAATGCTGTTTTAACCCATATGGTAGCCAGGAAATCTGAAACCAATTCCCAGAATTCCATTCTCCTGCACAGTGACTAGGAAATTCCAGGAGTTGAACGCCACCTATCTTATTGTTGTCAAGCTTGAGCAACACTGCTGTAAGCCATACCCAGGGAGTTGCATCGCAAAACAGGATTTTCGGGAGTTTGCAAGGTGTCAAAACGTGAGTCAGGATGGCAGTGGCACAGCTTGACAAAGAGGGCTTTGTTTGGTTGGCAGTAGAAATAGCGGATCCCTCTATATTCTCCATCTGTGCATCCTGTTAATAGTGGTTCCTCCTAGGAAAAAGTAAAAAAGAGGTGAGTTTCTACATCCCCAATTGCCCTCAACCTTTTCCCTCTGTCATATGATTTATAACATCTTTCAGTTCTGTTTATTAACATACCTTGCTGTTAGTAAACAGAAATTCTGAAATATGTTTTAATATTAGTAGCTCGGGTTGGTAATTAAGCTGTTAGTTTGAGCTCCGAGCTTGGCAATTTGGTTGCAAATGTTTCATCACCATTGAAGGCGACATCGTCAGTGCGTTTCGAATTGTGCTTGTCAGTCAGAACATATCTCATAAAAAAGGTATTTAAAGACCCGTGTTCTGACCGACAAGCACAACTCAAAACGCCCTGTCGATGTCTCCTCGAATGGCGATGAAATGTTTGCAATCAAATTACCAAGCTCAGAGCACAAACCAACAGTCTAGAAATTCTGAAGTTTAGCAACAGAATTTCTGGTCCCAATTATGATCATAAGTGGAGGACTACTTCAAAAGAACATCTTGTTGACCTAAAGTGGAAAGGAGGATTCAGAATACCCTACGTTCATAATATGTTAAAATATGCCAGTGTTTCTCAAATTTATCCGTTTGAAGATGTATGGACTTCTCCAACCAGCAAGCGATCAGCATGTTTTCAAATTTCCAAGGTTGAGAAACACTATGTTATTATTCTCTAGTGGAATGGCCATAATAGGGCTGATTTTGATTTAGTGATGTATTTTGATTAGCATCAAGGAATTAGCATCTAACTCATCTGGGAAATAACCTTCTGAAGGTGATGTGGAATCACTGCATATCAGGGGTGAAATCTACTTACCTTCCCAACCAGTTCAGAAGTGTGCACGCACGTCACATGCGTGCTAGGACCCTCTGTGCATGCGCAAACCCTTCTGCACATGCGCAGAGGGCAAAAAACACATGACGACCGGGCAAGTGGGAAGAGCCTCGTGCTGCCATTGCTACCAGTTCTCCGAACCACCAGCCGCCATTGCTACCGGTTCGGCTGAACCAGCCCGAACCGGGAGCATTTCACCCCTGCTGCATTATCTATAGAAAGCTAGACTAGTAAGAATAAAATATGCAAATATGCCTCTTCTTGTCTATGGAGATTCTCAACCATCCTGATCATGGTAGTCCCAAAGGTGTTTTTTCAACAGGCAAACTGGGCTTTCTTGGTTTTTTTCTTTGAAACGTTTCACTTCTCATCCAAGAAACTTCTTGGATGAGAAGTGAAATGTTTTCAAGGGAAAAAACAAGAAAGTCCAGTTGCATTTTGGAAAAGCATCTTTGTGTGGGCCTCTTCTCCCATTTTTTTCCTCTCACCAGCTCCAAGCCAGCAACTGTCTCATCTGCATCTGGTAGGTCTCCAATCCAACGTATCACACCATAGATGGGTGGATTATAAACCTCCACCACGGAATTGATCTCCAAGAGATGGTGGTCATATTCTCTGCTGTCCTGGTCCTCCTCGGCTCCTTCTGCCTCACTTTTCTTCTTCTTCCTCTCAAAAACTTGCGCTATTTCTTCCTTCAGGTCCTCAAAATTTGACAAAGGAGCTAAAGGAAGTGAGTTCTGGGATAAACACTCCTTCATCGGTGGAGGATATCTGATAGAGGAAGGGGATGGGCAGTCTTCATATTCATCGGAGGTAGGGGTGGAGGAGTTGCTGTTCAGGACTTCTTGACTTTTATCAACTTGTTCTTGAATTAGACCGGGAGGGGAGGGGGGGAGAGAACATTAGATATTTTAACCATAATCTCATGCAGGTGGTCCTCGAGATATGACCACAATTGAGCCCAAAATTTATGTCGCTTAAGTGAAACATTCTTTAAGTGGTTTTGCCCCATTTTACAACTTTTCTTGCCACAGTTCTTAAGTGAACCACTGCATTTGTTAAGTCAGTAACATGGTTGTTAAGTGACTCTGGATCAGGGTTGGCTGCTGGGGGTTTGCAGGGGTTCGGGAGAACCTCTAGCTAAGATTCTGTGCAGTTCGGAGAACTCTAAAATCCCACTCCTGGCTGACCCCGCCCCACGCGCTCCCCCTCCCAGGAATCCCCAAGCAGCCCGTTTTGGATGCAGGTAAGTGCAGGGCACGTACAGAGGCTCGGGGAGGGCAAACAATGGGCCTACCGGAAGTTTCGGAAGGCCAGAAAGGGCCTCCGGAGCCTGGGGAGGCAGTTTTCGGCCTCCCGGAGTCTCAAGGAAAGCCTCTGGAGCCCAGGGAGGGCAAAAATATCCCCCCACCCCACCGTGGTGCAGGCGGCTGACTAGGCCATGCCCATCTAGCAACCGAGCAGAGAACCCCTTCCTAAAATTTTTGAAGCCCACCCCTGCTCTGAATTTCCCATTGACTTTGCTTGTCAGAAGGTCTCAAAAGGCAATTGCGTGACCCCAGGATACTGCAACTGTCATAAATATGAACCAGTTGCCAAGCACCTGAATTTTGATCATGTGACCATGGGGGGGTGCTATCACTGTTGTGTGAAAAACAGCCATAAGTCACTTTTTCACAGTGCTGTTGTCACTTTGAATGGTCACTAAATGAACTGTTGTAAGTAGAGGAATACCTGTACTTTTAAGAGAGTGTAATGCATTTGGTGTTCAATTATTCCCAATGTGCAATTGGGATCTTGGACACACCGTTTATCGTTATAACAATCTGAATTAAAATGAAAAAAACTCAACAATTCCAGAGCAAAGTTTCTAACTTTTAAAACTTTGCTGTAGCTAATAAAATCTCAGAAAGAAAAGGATGTGTGAAAGCCCACTTGGTTATTTAACCTACTCTATTTTTTGGACTATAAAACAATCCGGAGTATAAGATGCACATTAGTTTTGGGGGAGGAAAAAATAAATCTGCCTCTGCCTACCAGCATCCATCGGTATTCATCTGGCTAGCATCCTTGCAGCAAAGAGCAAACAGCTTGATCAGCTTCAGCATGTTATCACAGCCTGATTCAGCACAAGCAGCTGATTGGTGGTTGGATCGGCCACCCAGAATACCGCCAATCAGCTGTTCCAGGCTGCGGGGATCACTACAGCCATCGCCACCTCCGCGTGATGTATTTTTGGCCTCTGAGCATCGCGTTTTTGGCCTCCGCACTCTCCATTTTAGACCTCTTTCAAGCTGTGTGGATCGCTATAGCACATTGCCGCCAATCTCTGCCTCCATGTGTCACGTTTTCGGCCTCCATGCTTCGCATTTTTTGCCTTCACACAACCCATTTTTGGCTTCCACGCATTGCATTTATGGCTGGTTCATAAATGCAATGTGTGGAGGTCAAAAACAGGGCGTGTGGAGGCCCAAAATGCGGCGCCCAGAGGCCGTAAATGCGATGCACAGAGGCAGCAATGTGCTGTGGTGATCCCTGCAGCCTGGAATGGGTCTAAAATGGGGCATGCGGAAGCAAAAAATGCAATGTGAGGAGGCCGAAAAAGGCCAAAGGATGGGGGCCGGCAGGTGGGTGGGGCTTCAGCAACATTCGGTATATAAAACGCACCACAATTTTCACCCACTTTTAGGTGGGGGGAGAGTGAGTTTTATACTCCGAAAAGTACAGTATCTTATGAACAAATATATAAGGAATGCTTGTTCCTTGGTCAAAGATATGCCGGTTGGGGAGACAAATCATATGGGGACTGACAAGGCTCTATTGTTGGCTGAAAGCCCAAATAATTTGCAGTAAATGTTGTATACATTGTAATAATAATGCTTCACTAACGAATATGTCAGTGTTTAACAGGGACAATGATGAATTATTATCACAATCAAAGTTCATTAAAAAAAAACACATAAGATCAATTTTTGGCAAAATATGAAAAATGCAAGAATATTCCCAAACCTTGATAAGTATGAATCTTACCTTTATGCACCTTGGAAAGGGGGAGCAAGATCCCATATTTGGGTGATGGGAAATGACAGAGAGGTTTGCCTTTGAAGTAACCATCCCAGGATCCCACGGGCTGATCCTATAGCAAGATTTAAAAGTAATCAAGATGATGGATGGATGAATAACCATATTTTCTTTAGGGTTTCTCAACCCTGACAACTTGAAAAATGTGGACTTCAACTCCCAGAATTCCCCAGCCATCCAAAAACTTTGGATGTAAAATCCAGATGTTTCAGAGCACATCAAACTTGTTGGCACCTCTTTAAAAATGCTGCATTTTTTTCTTGGGTTCATATGGTAGTTCCAGAATTATGAATGAAGAGACATTTAAGTTAAGGAACCTATCAAGTCCAGGAAAAGACACAGATAAGATGCTGGCAGATATGTCTTGTGTGCTCACATTAAACTGTCTTTTGGGCTTCAAATCCCTAATTTCATTTCCCTCTTTCCATTTTTCTCAACTTTTTGAGAAACCTTCTCAAACCTACATCAAACCTTCCTTGGTTTGATGTAGAGCACGGGTGTCAAACTCGATTTCACTGAGGGCCAGTGGTGGGTTTCTACCGGTTCGCCCCGGTTCAAGCGAACCAGTAATGGCGGCACCAGGATGCTCCGCCCACCCTCCCTGACGTCATCATGGACACTCTGCGCATGGGCCGAACCTGCGCATGCACAGAAGCACCATGCACGAGCAAAGGAAGCAAGCACGTCCATGTGAACGTGCTCTTACAGTTCCGAACTGGTAGCAAAGGTACGTGAAACCCACTACTGATGAGAGCCGCATCGGGGTTGTTTGACCTTGGGAGGCTGGGGTGGGCGTGGGCACGGTGGGCATGGCCAGGTCGATGGCACTTGTATTGAAGGCACCTGTAGTGGCCCGAGCGCTCTACTAGCGAAAGTGGGCTCCCAAGCTCTGTTTTTGGCTGCAACAGCCTCTTGCAACCCTCTGCCAGTGAAAACGGAGCTCGGGAAGGCCGCACGCAGCCCTCCTGAGCTCCATTTTCACTGGCAGAGGCACCATAGGCTGGTCCTTCGCTGTTTCCAGGGTGGTCCCGTGAACCAAATGTAAGCACCCCACGGGCCGAATTGACACCCCTGAGATCTAAATCCAAAAATGATAACCTCTTTATTTTTAATGCTGAACATTTTTTTCCTGCTTGTTTCTCTTAAACAAGAAGAAAAGGCTTCAATGCTATTACATTTCAGCTACTTGTAGCTTTATCTACAACAAAAATAAGAAAAATATTGGTTCCTTTCTATGCTATATAAACTACTTTCTTAAAGTGGTTCTATTCTGTAAGGAGCCAAGAATTAACACAGTGTCGAGAGGCCTACAAATCTAATCAATAAATACAGTAATCAATATTTACTTTAAAATAAATATATATATGCATAATTGCCCGAATCAACAATATATTTCAGTTAGTTATACAGACATACACCCACAACACAAAACGTTCTGGGAAAAAAACCCATGACATTTAACAAAGTCTACAAAGTCCTAGCATGATATTATATCTGAAAAGCTATTGATAATTCAGCATGACAAACATTTTCCATTTTTGCCCAAATTTCCACTGGTGGAGCAAACAAACACCTAACTTTCCCCACACTGTTTCCACATTTTTAGAAATGTTGAAGATTTCTAGAAATGAAATGTTCAACATTTCTAAAAATGTTGAAACAGTGGGGGAAATACTGAGTATTGAAAAAGGATGTCCAATTAATGTTCAGGATAAAGATCCAAGAGAGGAATATGGGAGGCAAGTCAAAAAAAGCATAGCAATTAAAGTATTGAAGCGGGCAAGAGACGATGGATAAATGATTTCTCTTTTTTGTTGTTGTTCTGATTTGCTTTTCTTTTTCTCTCCCTTTTCTCTTTTTAGGTAGGTGACATGACTAGAAGTTGGGTAGGATAGAAAGAAAACATTTTTTAAATAAAGGGTGATATGATTAAAAGTTAGAATAAGAGATAGAAATAAGAGAGTGGGAATATTAGTGTAAACACTTTTATATAATAAAATAAAAGCAATAATAAGAGAATAGTGAGAATATCATTGAATAATGATAGACTGTAACACAATATAAATGTGTATTATTATTAGAAATATATGTTGATTGAATGTAATAACTATGATTAATTTTACTAGTTCTATTTGTATTAGAATACACGATACCCAGGTGCCACACTGTTCATGCATTGATATATTTGTAAAAAAAAAAATAAAAAACTTGAAAAAAAAATTAATGTTGAGGAGTCTCTCTCAACTGGACAAGTACTTACTAGAAATATTCCCACAAACACTCCGGCTTCAAATTTCCCTGGAAGATGGTTGCAGTATACCACACTGCCAGTAGGGGTGCTGTTTTCCATCTTGAAAAAGACCCGGTCTCCAACCGTTAGCCCTGGGGACGACAACGGATCTCCTGTTGTAAGTTGGACTCTTGTACACTCCCGGATCCCTTCTCTTCGAGGTGCTGCTGGACTACCCTCAATCGCTTTGTCGGGTTCAATCCGGCTGACTGGTACAAAGACACCGCAGTTCTCACGACAGGAGAAGAACTTCTGTCCTTTGAAGGAGCCGTCTGTAAAACCCTTCCCGGCTGCTGAGCCCTATAAAACAGGACAATGACTCTTCCAGAAAGATAATCTATTCCTCATCTCACTCTCTATCCCTCCAAACAACCCTTGGGGGTAGATTTAGCTGAGAAATTGCACATCTCCCAACTTTAAACCACTGAATTCTGGTGGTCAAATGAGGATGAGAACATTTTTCATCAATATGAGCCCGAACTCTTGGTCAGTGTTTCTTGATCTCAGCAAGCTTACGATATGTGGACAATTCCCTACTGGCTGGGGAATTCTGGGAGTTAAAAGTCTACCCATCTGCCACAAAGAAGAGGGGGCCAAAATTGTGGAAACTTTTTGGGGAAAGTGTGTTTTTGAGGTTTGATGGCTAATAACACTTTTTTTTTTTTTTGGAGTTTCAAGATATGGCTAAGACACTGAGCTTGTCGATCAGAAAGGTTGGTAGTTCGGTGGTTCGAATCCCTAGTACAGGTCTCCTGCGTAAGCAGGGGGTTGGATCAGATGACCTCCAAGGTCCCTTCCAACTCTGTTACTGTTTAATAATCATATTCCACTGCTGGAATGGTCTGGGAATAGCCCAGACCTTAACCCAACTGAAAAATCTATGGAGTCAATTAAAGACACTTGTTAGTCAGAAGCGACCCAGCAATAAAACCCAGTTCATAGAAGCAATCACTCAATCTTGGTTTCACATTACAACAGCTGCAGAACTAAAAGACTTGGTTCACTCCATGGGAAGATGTTGTAAGGCCATAATTCATGCTAAAGTTTACCCAACTAAGTATTAACTGACATGGTGATAATTTTTGTATATCTTGATTTTTCTATGGTGATAGTTTTTGTATATCTCTTTTTTTCTACATGTTTTACTTTTCTACTTTATAAATGCTATTCTAATAGCAAATCCTTCATAAAAGTTATTGCATTACATTCTTGATTAAATTATCTTTCCATTGATATATAATTTTATGGTACTACTTAAAAAAGAAATGATGTTATTGGCTAGTTTTAGAAAATACACTTTTCCCAAATATTTATTTATTTATTTATTTTATTCAATTTGTATACCGCCCTTCTAGTGGACTCAGGGCGGTGCACAGCCAGAATTAAAACACATACCAATACAAAATTTAAAATTTTTAAAAGAATTATATGACTTTGGCCCAAAATTTAAAACATTCAAACTAAAACCCATTGACAATTTAAAAAGCTAAAAAAAAGGGGGGGCGGTTCACACCAGCCCTGCTTGATGGAAAAGTTTTTAGGGCATGGCGAAAGACCCGGAGATCTGATATCCTTTGTATCTCCGGGGACAAATCGTGCCAGAGGGCAGGAGCTGCCACAGAGAAGGCCCTCCCCCTGGGGGTCGCCAGCCGACATCGCCTGGTTGACGGCACCCTGAAGAGTCCCTCTCTGTGGGAGCGTACTGGTCGGTGGGAGGCTATCCCACCGACCAGTATATATACAGTATATATTTGAAGAAAACCTCTTCAGAATTATCTACTCTATCCTCCTTTGGTTATTTAAGAGAAATAGCAACGTGACAGGCTCAACAGGGAAATCTTATTGTATTCTATGATTTTCAGATAATTTTCAAATGTTGGGCAAGCAATATGTGACTTCTTTCCCAAATTCTAGTTTCTGGCTAGTTCTTGAATAAAATTCCAACCATGCATGGAATCATTACCACACTGTTGTCATACAAAGGAGTTAAACTATTTTTAATCAATAGAAGATTCTTTGATGAACAGTCAAATCCAGTTTGCTTTTGTGACCAACACTCCTCCCTGACCCCATAAACTTACTGAAGGCATAATAAAACTAGTTTTTCAAAAGGCGTTTACATATTTCCACAATAAGCAAGGCAGCATAATGCAAATGGTGGCTTATTTCATTGTTCTCTGTAGGAATATTAAAATAATACTTTTGGCCAATTTTTCTTTAAGCGCTTAGCATGAACTATTGTATCAGCTATTTTTGCAGCCAAGATATAAAAAAAGGAAAGTTGTTGTGACTTCCCACTCTAAATTACATTACAGGTAATCCTCGACTTGGGATCACAATTGAGCCCCACATTCCTGTTGCTAAAGGAGACATTTGTTATGTGAGTTTGCCTCATTTTACGACCTTTCTTGCCACCGTTGTTAAGTGAACCACTGCAGTTGTTAAGTCAGGAACTCAGTTGTTAAGGGAATCTGGCTTCCCCATTGACGTGGCTTGTCAGAAGGTCACAAAAGTTGATCACATGACCCCAGGACATTGCGACTGTCATAAATAGGAGTCAGTTGCCAAGCATCTGAATTTGGATCTCGTGACCGTGGGGATGCTGCAGCTGTCGTAAGTGTGAAAACAGGTCGCAAGTCACTTTTTTTCAGTGCTGTTGTAACTTTGAACAGTTACTAAAGGAACTGTTGTATGTCAAGGACTACCTGAATGTGGAACAAAACTTAGCAATATGATGCATTTTGGTTCCAAGGTTGGAATAGCAATAGCACTTAGACTTATATATTGCTTTACAGTGCTTTCTAGCCCTCTCTAAGTGGCTTGCACAGTCAGCCTATTGCCCCCAACAATCTGGGTCCACATTTTAGCCACCTTGGAAGGATGGAAGGCTGAGTCAACCTTGAGCCTGGTGAGATTTGAATTGCCAAATTGCAGGCAGCCGGCAGGCAGCAGAAGTAGCCTGCAGTACTGCACTCTAACCACTGCGCCACCGCGGCTCATGAGATCAAACTATTCAAAACGCTTTGGGATTTCCATCTGGATGCTTCTGCACAACCCTCGTAGCGATCTGCCAATGGTATTACTCACCACCAGCTCGACCCCAAAGATGATGCTGGTATCTTGCTTGCTCTTGTCTATGGGTCCTCGGTATCGGACAATGCCTGGAACTTTCTGCCCAGAAGCAGAGGTGATCTGGACCCTCACTCGGTCACCCTTCCCCAGGGAACTGAGTTTCTGCATCCACCGCCCCTGCTTGAAGAGGGCCAGGCGTTCGTCTCCGTTGGTCACAGCTTCTAGCAACCCAGACTGGGCTCCGCTCAGTTCCTTGGCCATCGAGGATGGTACCCGGACCACCTTTTCTGCATCCAAGACCTTGGCCCAAAATGTTCCACCGGGGGAGACCCCGCGGGCATCTTCCTGGCTTAGTAAGCTACCCCTGGAAACTTTGACTTCTCCTCCTGCTTTCGCTTCCCCTGTGAAATCTTTCACAGCTATATAGAGTCGCCGCGGTTTCATTGCCTTGGGTGGTGATATTGACAAAAGAGAGACACCCCAATCACCTGCCAGGGGAAAAATAAAGGAAGTGAAGCAGTTCAGGTATCAATGGAAGAGAATAGCAATAGCACTTAAACTTACCGTGTTTTCCCGAAAATAAGACCCTGTCTTATATTTTTTTTGAACCCTGAAATAAGATCTTGGCTGTATTGCCATGCACTCAAAAGCCCGATTGGACTTATTATAAGGGGATGTACTGCCTCACAGTACTTTACAGCCCTCTGTAAGCGGTTTACAATGTCAGCATGTTGCCCCCAACAATCTGGCTCCTCATTTTACCGAACTCAGAAAGGATGGAAGGCTTGAGTCAACCTTGAGCCTGGTGAGATTCGAACTGCCAAACTGCTGGCAGATCGGCAGTCAGCGGAATTAGCCTGCAATACTGCACTCTAACCACTGTACCACTATGGCCCTAAATAAACTAATCAAGGAGAGAAGCAACCTAGAACTAAGAAGAAATTTCCTGACAGTTTAGAACAGTGGGAAAACTTGCCTCCCGAAATTGTGAATTCTCCAACGTTTTTAAGAAGAGATTGGACAACCATTTGTCTGAAATGGTATAGGATTTCCTGCCTGACTTGAGTGTTGGACTAGAAGACCTCCAAGGTCCCTTCCAACTCTGTTATTCTAATTCTATCTGTATTTGCCTTCATTTATGAGAATATCTGTAGCTCAAGGTGGGGTCCTTGGTGCTCTCTGAGCTTGGTTGTTTTCTTGTAGACATTTCATAACCCAACTAGCTAATATCATCAGTACTAGAAGTGCCTGTCAAGCACTTGTCAGAGTTTGTTGCAGAAATCAAATCCAGAAAACACACACAGGTAAATTGTTTCAGCAGGATTCATTAACTTCTCTTTATACATAATATAACACATACAATATCAACAGCCGATTCTTCCAATGTGGTAGAGGGTTACAGGCAAAAAACACAGGCAGAGGAGAGAATAGCAGAGATGAGTTTCAGTTTCAATTCAGAGAGCAGACTAGTTTCAGTTTCAGAACTCAGAGTTTAATATAGAACAATTAAGCCACGCCCAGGCTCCTTGCTGTCTGAATCAGCAAACAGCCCCCATTGGCTGACCTTCTTGCTATGTCCTATTCCAGTTCATGAATATACTGACAGCACTGATGATGTTACCTAGTTGCATTATTAAATATCTGCAAAACAACAACAACAACAACAACAAACAAACCCAGAGAGCACCAAGGACCCTATAATCTAGGTATCTTGTTTAGTTTGCATCTGTACTTTAAAAAGCTCCTTCTCTCAATCTCTTTTCTTGGCAACCCTGAAACACTGTCATCCCAAAAGGCCCAAAAAAATTTAAAAGAATTGCCCACAACGAACATCACAATCCATATGAAGTTTAACGGCTACTGATTAGGAAGCCATTGACACATATTTTCAAAGAGCTTACTGTAGGATTCACCTCTGACCTCATTAATATGCCTACCATGCTGCCAATTTGATGATAAAATCTGTTGCTCGCATTTCACGCCACTTCTAAGTGAACTCCCTGATGAAATCTTAGATTTCATTTCTTCTCATAGAATGATAAGAATGACGTCACTCTAAAGGCGGCCAATTTTTTTGTTTCAGAGTTTGTATTATTAGGAAACAGATGACTCAATTTTGAAAACTATTGTTCAATCTGATTAGAAAAACAGTGTGCGCGTTTGTCTCTTATCCATTAGTTTTATTTTATATTTTCAAAGGTGATTAGGGGACCGGAGAGGCTGAAACATATAAAGAATGGTTGTTGGAATTGGATATGATAGTTTAATGAAAAGAAGGACTATGGGGAGACATGATAACAGTGTTCCAGTATCTCAGGGGCTGCCACAAAGAAGAGGGAGTCAAGCTATTCTCCAAAGGACCTGAGGGCAGGACAAGAAGCAATGGGTAGAAACTAATCAAGGAGAGAAGCAACTTAGAATTAAGGGGAAATTTTGTTATAAATAGAACAATTAATCAGTAGAATGGCTTGCCTCAGAAGTTGGGGGTGCTCCAACAGTTAGTTTTTAAGAAGATATTGGATAACTATTTGTCTGAAATGGTATAGGGTACCCTCCAAGATCACCGCAGATGGGGTTGCAGCCAAGAAATTAAAAGACGCTTGCTCCTGGGAAGGAAAGCTATGGCAAATCTAGACAGCATATTAAAAAGCAGAGACATCACCCTGCCAACAAAAGTGCGTATAGTTAAGGCTATGGTTTTCCTAGTTGCAATGTATGGCTGTGAAAGTTGAAGTACAAGGAAGGCTGAACACCAAAGAATTGAGGCCTTTGAACTATGGTGCTGGAGAAGATTCCTGCGAGTCCCTTGGACTGCAAGGCAATCAAACCGGTCAGTCCTAGAGGAGATCAACCCTGACTGCTCTTTAGAAGGCCAGATCCTGAAGATGAAACTCAAATACTTTGGCCACTTAATGAGAAGGAAGGACTCACTGGAGAAGAGCCTAATATTGGGGGAGATTGAGGGCAAAAGAAGAAGGGGACAGCAGAGAATGAGATAGCTGGATGGAGTCACTGAAGCAGTCAGTGTGAGCTAAAATGGATTCCAGAGGATGGTAGACAGTGGTGGGTTGCTCCCAGATCTGTCCGGTTCTTGCAAACCGGTAGTAAAAGTGGTGGGAGGCTCTGCCGATCCGCCTGGATGTCATAATGGACGATTTGCGCATGCACAGAAGCGTGCACGCGTACTCCCGTTGAGAACTGGTAGTAAAGGTTAGTAGAACCCACCCCTGATGGTAGAGGACAGGAAGGCCTGAAGGAACATTGTCCATGGGGTCGCGATGGGTCTGACACGACTTCGCAACTATCTAACAACAACAACCCTGCCTGAGCAGGGGGTTGGACTAGAAGACCTTCAAGGTCCCTTCCAACTCTGTTATTCTGTTCTGTTATTCTGTTATATTATTCTTTTTTCTTTTTTTTTTAAAAAAAGGAAGAACCGAATTAAAAAAAAAAATTAAGTCTAATCGATTAGTTTTTTCCTTCCTCACTTTCCCTGCCCTTTTCGAATGTGCCAATTTCGAAACTGGTCTTTTTTAATCCCGTCTTTTAAGAGCTGCTTATTTAAACCATCTCTCTAAAGCGTCCACCCTGATTGTTATTTTCATTCCGGGTCAAACTTGCTTTTAAAAGAAGGAAAACAGGACAGGATCTGATCCACCAACAACCAAGATTCCTTCCAACTCTGTTACTGTTACCCTGGAAGTTGACGTGTTTAAAAACCGGCCCATGCCGTTTCATTTTCAAATCCGATGGCAGAATGAAGGCGGCCTTCTTCTTTGGCAAGAGCCGAATCGCAATCTCCGCATCCCCCCCCCCGGTTGTAGGCAGACCCCGATCCGCGGGCGAGGAGATCGTGAGAAAATGCGTGCCACCCAAGCCAAGACGCATAGCGATAAAAACTCCGCCCTACGACCCTCTCATCCCCCACTCCCCAGGGAAAACTCACCTGGATTAAAAACTTTCTGGACTGCTTTCTTGAACGATCCCCTTTAAAAAGTCGCCGCGACACGAGGAAAAAAAAAAGATATATAAAGTTGAGGAAGTTTGCTGAAAGTTTTTTTTTTTTTAAAGGGGCGGAAATCGGGAACCAATGAGAAGGCAGGTGAAGGGAAAGGGAGCCAATCAAAACGGAGAAACGGTGCGTAGGTGTGCCTGGAGGGGGAAGAATCTAAACAACAGGATTTCCCCGGCTTTTCTTTTCTTTTTCCCTTATTGAATCATTTTTTTTGGGGGGGGGGGATAGCATTTATACTAGGGCGGGGGGAGGAGTGGGAGCAGTAAACGTACGCTAGACGTTCAAATAGCGACCTGGCCAGGGAGGGAAGCAAGGAACAGGGATGGAAAAGTTTTAATTCGGCTTGGGTGCCCCAAAGAACACTTAGATGCCAACTTTCTTCCTGTTCTTCGACGGTGCGACCCGCTCAGCCCATTATCTGCAAGACATTAGGACTTGAACGTGGCTGGGTACCCACGACACAGTTTGCCCATCCTTCCCAATTTTAGGGCACAGCTAGGCTGAATCGTCCGGAGCTAATAAAGGAACATCCATCCGGCTTTGTCCTGGGGTGCAAGGCGAAGACTACTCAGCTGAAATCTCCGAAGAGGCAAGAAAAAATGCATTTGGCCATCATCTTGCCTCCCTCCTTGACCATTCATTGCTTGAGAGAGGTCCCGGGACGTTGCTTCTCTGATGATTCTTGATGAATGTATCTTTTATTTTATGTACACTGAGAGCATATGCACCAAGACAAACTCCTTGTGTGTCCAATCACACTTGGCCAATTAAAAAAAGAAATCTATTATTCTCTTTGTCTTTAAGCCCAAGTTTGCGGAGCCAAGGGAGCACCATTCCCACATGCACAAAAAGGAAGTTGCAGCAGCATCGCATGGGTGTGTGTGGGGGGGGGGGGGGAAACCCCGCCGTTTGTCACAGAGAGGGGGGGAAAGTGTCAGGGAAACGGAACCCCCCCACCAACCACCAAGCAGCAAGGCAAATGGATGGAGAGGCTTGAAACAGAAGCACCATTTACAGCGACAGCAAATCTATAGAAAGTCGTGACAGATGCCATCCAAGTTGCAAACCCTGTTTAGAGTTTTTCCAGCACTGAGGATGGCATGGTATGTGTGTGTATGTGTGTGTGTGTGTGTGTGTGAGTGAGGGAAGGAAGGAAGGAGGGAGGGGGAGAGAGAAAAAGAGATCTCACCCAAGACAAAAGTTAGCAGGTTTTGTGAAAACGGGGCCATTTTTTGCAAAAAACAGGCATACAGAGTGTTTGAGGAGCCTGCAGAGTGCTCCTGGGGATTGGGGAGGGCAAAAACGTGACACAGGGGGGGTTTGGAAGGCCAAAAGGAGGCCCATTTTTTGCAAAAATGGGGGTGTTTTTGCCCTCCCCAGCTCCCAGGAGCACTTTGCAGACCTCCCAAACCCTCTGCATGCCCCATTTTTGGCCTCCCAAACCCCCCATGTGTCACATTTTTGCCCTTCCCAGCCCCCAGGAGCACTCTGCAGGCCTCCCAAGCCCTATAGGCACCCCATTTTTGTGAAAAACAGGGCCGTTTTTCGCAAAAACAGGACGCGCAGAGGGATTGGGGGGCCTGCAGAGTGCCGCTGGGGGCCTGAGAAGGCAAAAACTTTTTTCTTTTTGGCTACCTCTTTGAAATCTTGGTGCTTCTTATAATCTGAATAATACGGTAAATAAAGTGGGGTTTTTCATGAAAAGGAGTCTATTTCTTGTTTCTGCTAAGGCTGGGTCAGAACAGTTATTAATGCCATCAGCTCTCTTCAAGGAAATGTATCTCTCCTAACCTTTCCCCCAAAATTTAATATGGGAGAGATATTGGGCTCCCTCAGCCTATGCTGCCTTACTACCTATTAACAAAGTTACAGGTGGAATCATTTTTATACTGTACTGTAATCTCCTCCCTCTGCAGCACAGAGATGCTGTATGTGACTTAGAGCAGTGTTTCTCAAACTTGGGCACTTGAAGATGAATGGACTTCAACTCCCCGAATTCTATAGACATCTTAGTTTAATCGTTTAGCTGCCTGGAGAATTCTGGGAATTGAAATTCGCCCATTTCCAATGGCCAAGATTGAGAAATGTTGTACTAGAGATTGCAGCCTTTCCACTCATTTCTAGGCTGACAACACTTAACTAAGGCCAGTTAAAGATGCCTAATCTCACAATGATCAGCAAAATCAAGCTATATTAAGAAAGAAGGAAAGATAAAGTGTGAAGCTCTTATCCTAACTTGAAATATTCTTACAAAAGTCAAAGTAGATAAAGATAGATGTTAGAAATGTACCAATTAGGGACAGCAACTTAAAGAAAAGATACAAACGTAAAAAACGATGCAACTGATGGACCACAAGATGGCGCTCATATGTTAACAATTAGCAAGCCCTTTTTTTCCTATTTCCAAACTATATTTCAGCTCAGAAGATAGTTTTATGGAAGTTTGCTTTTATGTATCATAACAGTATTGAGTCTTTTATATGGACAAAGATGGAAGGACTCACCGATACCTACAACGGGAGAATGGGTGAGGAAGTTGGTGGAATCGGAAGAGATGGAGACATTGACAGCTTTGATTAAAGAAAAGACTTTGACTAATTTTATTTCTATTTGGAAATCAGTTTGGGATTTTTTGGTGAAAGACTGAAGGAAATGAAATGTCGATTTTGGAAGTTGATGATCAGAATGATAAGGGATTATAATCCTAGAGTAAGAATGGCTCCTTTTTGTTTATTCCTTTTTTGTACCTAAGAATTTGTTCCTTTTTGTACCTAAGAAAATTGGAAGTCATTCTTGTTCTATTTTTCTTTTCTTCTTTTTGAACCTCTATCTTCTCTTTTTCTTCTTCTTAATTTTTTTCTTTTTTAAATTATTTTTTCTTCTTTGCTTATGTTTTAATTTAGTGTTTCTGAAAATCAATGAAATTACTGTATATATATAAAAAAGACCTGGTCTCAGATGAGAGTTTAAAAAAGGAAGAGTGGATTGCCATACACCCTTATAAAAAGAAAAAGAAATTTAGCACAATTCTTATCCAAATGTTTTCCCATTCCTATACGGCAGTGTTGGCGAACCTTTTCGGCACTGAGTGCCGAAATGGGAGCGTGCACACGGGAGGGAGGGAGCATTGGAAACCGGAAGAGCAACTCCCTGGCATGCACGCACTGGAGCACCGGAAACTGGAAGAGCAATTCCTTCTGAGCTTCTGGTTTCTGGCATGTACATGTGCGCCGGTCACCTGGTCTTCTGGGTTTTGGCATCCATGCGTGCGCAAAGACCAGGTGGCCAGCATGCATCCACACACCGGAAACCAAAAGTTCAGCCTCCCAGCGTGTGCATGCATGCCCGAAAACCAGCTGTCTGGAATGCATGTGCACACTAGAACCCGGAAGAGCAACGGGCGATGGCTGGGTGCCCGAAAAGATGGCACTGCATGCCATTTTTGGCACGCATACCATAGGTTCACCATCATGGCTACAGGGGCTGTAAGTTCCTTTGAAACAAAATGCTGCCTCTGTTCAAGTTGTTAGCTGGGAATTTCTTCTTCTTGGAAATTCCAATTTATTGGATTTAGCTCTTCTTTGGTTCCAGCAAGAGTTTGCCATTATTTTTAAAAGCTTTCCAAATCCCTTAAATCCAGCAAAGGGGATGAAGCTGTGGTATCCCTCACTGCTGCTTAGTGAAAGGCCTTTCCCTTAGAATGCTGAAACTTGGACAGATGGATGCAGGAGTGGGCTGCTGGGGGTTTGCAGGGGTTCGTGGGAACCTCTAGCTAAGATTCTGTGCAGTTCAGAGAACCCCCAAAACCCACTCCTGGCTGGCCCCGCCCACCCCGCCCTTCCCAGGAGTCCCCACACGGCCCATTTTGGATGCAGGGAAGTGCAGGGCGCGTGTGGAGGCTTGGGGAGGGCAAAAACACCCAGCAATTGGGCAGAAAACCCCTTGCTAAATTTTTTAAAGCCCACCCCTGGATGGATGGATGGATGGATAGATGGATAGATAGATGGATGGATGGCAGTGAGTTAGGAATGGAATTTGCAGCCTGTTTTCGTGAGTTGCAATAGGTGTTCAATTGTAAAAGACTAGTGCACAAGAAAATACTAAACTGGCCAAATTGTCTTATGATAAGCATCCATATGGAAGGTATAAGATTGGTAAAGGTAAAGGTTCCCCTTGCACATATGTGCTAGTCATTCCCGACTCTAGGGGGCGGTGCTCATCTCCATTTCAAAGCTGAAGAGTCAGCGCTGTCCGAAGACATCTCCGTGGTCAAGTGGCCGGCATGACTAAATGCCAAAGGCACACGGAACGCTGTTACCTTCCCACCAAAGGTGGTCCCTATTTATCTACTTACATTTTTTACATTCTTTTGAACTGCTAGGTTGGCAGAAGCTGGGAGAAGTAATGGGAACTCACCCCGTTACGCGGCTCTAGGGATTCGAACCGCTGAACTGCTGACCTTTCGATCAACAAGCTCAGCGTCTTAGCCAAATCCAGTTCTGTTGTCACACAAAATGCCAATCCCCAAATAGGATTTGTATATTTGTCACTTAGGTTGTTGGGGCCTAAAAACCAGGTTTTGTTGCCTTCGGTGTTGCGCAAGCCCAATCAATTGTGGTTTGTTCAGTGAAGCAATCCTGGTCACACTGACTGTCAGCCCTGGAGCCATTTTGCCCTTGGCACCTTCAGGGCTGCCACAGCAGAGATGAGTCGAGCTGTGGAAATGGGAGGGGGGGAGGTAGAGATTGCTGGGGGATTGTAGCCAAAATAAAATTCTTTCCTCTGAGAACCAAGGACTTTCCCACCAGGTGCAAGGAGGTGGGATCTGGGACCAAGTGACCCTTGGACTGTGATCTGATTGGAGTATGTGATGGACTGCAGGGGAAAGAAAATGTTACTTTAAACTAGGGGGAAACCTGAGGGGGGTTTAGAATCAGGTTTCCCCAGATGTGCCAATATGACATGCCTTATAAATCTATACTTTGAGGAACAT